ACCAGTATATCGCCTTCAAGGGCAGGATGTTCGCGAATTTCTTTAGAGAAACCAAGAGCGTCGTCAATGGTGTATTGATTCATCGAGAGAGGCTTGAGCTTTTCCTCCAACCATTTAGCTAGCTTATAGTTGTATGTCCCTGAGGCTGACAGAATTGGACGCATACTCAGAGTATTGATCCAAACCGTCCGAAAACTCGAGGCCGTCCACCCAAGCATTTTCACCCTCTTCTGCAGAAAGAAAAAGAGTTGAAAGCAGTTTTACATCAAGTTCTTCCCGAGAAACTGGCTGAATCGTTGATGACCTAATGAAACAAAAGAATACAAGTCCGAAGTGTCGGTATTTTGACGTGTATTTTTATTAGGAATAAAGTTTCTGTTTTCTAATTAACCTCTGCCTCACTTATGGAACGTGCTTTGCACTCCGTGCACGCACGTTCCAAGTAAATATTCCTAAATAAGCTTTATAATGAAAATTTCAATTACATGTTTCCATGGTTAAAACCAATTGTCCAAACTGTGATGTACACATTCTAAAATTATGTTTACACAAAAAGATAAAATTAAACATATTTTTATTATGAAATTTTGTAAAGCTAATATATAACAAAGTGCTAATAGACTTTCAGCGGGTAAGTGATCAGTTTCTACAATTTGCTACGACGTATTTTACCTAACATTAACAACTGCAAGACCCAAATGAGAACACTAACAAAGAGGGAAACAAGAAAAAGTGATAAAGTATTTTCCATTATGTAAATTTGTGGAGAAGTTTTAATGGAATTAACTTCACTCCGCGAGTCACAGTTCGTTTCCAACTTTGTAGACAAAACACATTTGAGGGTCTCCAATAGGGTTCTTTAATCCCACAATCCCGACTACAAAATTTTTCTACTCAATCCCGTAATCCCAACAGTTTATGCCAGCCAATCCCGATCCGGATCATAAAATTTTGTCTTACTCCATTTCTAAACTTGGGAGGGCCATTTCGGTAGCAGATGACTTTCTCAACCAGCATTGATCCGTTGAAGTCTATGGTCACCGTAAGGCGTAGGTTTACCTCTTTTCACCAAAATAATGATATATTTGATTTTAGAAGTTTTCAAAGTTTTGCAGGAATAACGTAAGCTAGTCACGGTATAGACTTCCTTCCGTTAAACTTCGATCACGGACGAACGTGTTAATACGGACAGGTTGGTATCAAAGAAACGAATGACAATGTCAACAAGTGCATAGGACACAAAAGATGACGGCTGCAATCTCATAGTTTCATAAGAAGAGAGGTAAAGAAAACTTCACTGACACAATTCTGCTCTTGAAGCGAATACATCTTGGGAGGCGGGAACCTCTTCCGAGATGAAAATCAGCTTCTAGTTCCAAAGATGGAATGTCACCATCATCACACGGGGAATCGTACTCTAATAATCCATCTTCCTCTTCGGCTTGTTTCCCACTGTTTTCTTGCTGCTCCTCGAAGTCAGAGCGTTCGAGAGTGACCGGCGGTTTGCCCGGCTAAATTTCTCTTTAATAGAGGTACTACGGGAGAGTTCCAACTCTTTCCGTCGTTGTTTCCTATCTGACAGGGCGCTGACGCACTGCTGCAACAAATGTTTACGCCCAGTCCCTCATTTTCTGTATGCTCTGTGGTGTCACCTTTAGAGGTGGTAACGGTTAAATTGCTGGGCATATATATAGGCATATAGGCTGGGCATATAAAGGCATGATTCTGAGACTTGCTGGAGGTTTCTAAAGGCCGTTAAGCATTTCAACTGACGCAGCAGGCATAGATGCCTTGTTACCCTGTGGGACATTGAGGATTTTTGGTTAATTGGCAACTTCGCTTCTGATATACTTTTCATTGCCGCGCAATAATTGAAGAGTGTCGCTGAACAGCCCGACCGCCTCCTGAATGCTAGAGAGCCTGTTCGCCTGGTGCTTTTCGTGGACTGAGAAGAACAATTTCTTCATAAATTCACGTCAACGGACATCCCGGCTCTCAGTTCGTTGAAGTGATTATTTCCCAAATCCTGATTCCCGTGTCCCGTTCCTAATAACAATCCCGCATCTCGCTCCCTTTTTACTTTAAATTCCCGGATCCCGGACTTTAAATAAGCCCAATCATGGATCCCGAAAATCCTATTGGGTACCCTCACATTTGTTTCTCTTCATTCCAGAACTGCACCACTTGACTCCCGCCAGTCTGAGCTGTTTTAAAATCACGTAACTTAAGATATTACTAACTGGAAGTAGGCTCTCGTCCCATTGAAACATTTCAAATTCTAGTATTTACAATTTAGCAACTTTGATCCAAGAATTTTGCTTACAAGGAAGAGACCTCTAGTCACCATAAACTTACAGCTGCGCAACATTTCATTGTTTGAACTGAGTACAACAGAAAGGAGGGTAAAAGTAACAAAATGTAAAATATCAAAATGGTCCGATACAAGATCTTGCGAGGTTTCCAAGACTAAGAACAAAGGGAGAACCTCTTTTTCAGTGTGAAATACTACCCATTACATACTACATTAACATGATCTGTGTGGCTTTGATACTGGCTTTCGCACGATAAGGGGAACTGTTACAATATATCGCAACCTTTTTTGACCTCTATAGCCCTAAATAGAATCTAATGGCAGTTTTTTTAAAGCGATGGATATCCAGTGTCCTTAGATACTCAGCCAAGAAATTTCTATTCATCAAAAAAAGGTGGGTTTTAATATGATATGACTGCTAAGATATAAAGTAAGATGCTTCTTATTGTCACGGTAAAACAATTACAATCATGTTTTCCAATCCAAACGATCGGAAGACATGATTATGAAATGTTCTGTCTCGCACATAAAATTGTCTCAATGCTGGCACAAAGCAAGTACTATAAAACGTCAAAAGCTGTTATAACCTTCTTTCAAGGTGACTACGTGTAAAATCCTGACTTGAAGGGGTGAGTTGGTTTCGACAGCCGTTAATCCTTTTTGCCTTCACTTCTACTTCAGTTAGCGAGGACAAATGATATCTCATTTAAGGTCATAAAAGTCATTGTGACCCCAATTAACAGATCTTTTATCAACTAGTCTGACTTGTCATTTCTGACAACCTTAATGTAATGATACAAACACAAAATATTTTTTCAAAATCCCTTGTTTCGATCAGTGCTGACGTAAGTAGCATGACTGTATTGAAAGGAATTTTTTGTGTCGCCATCAGTTCTAATATGGCATTGCGTGTGTTGATTGCAATGGATTGCACTTAAAAAATGCAGTATAAGTTTCGCAATTTTGGCTAAACGTTGATCAATCTACCTAAGCTATTTCCATAACATAATTTCTGTAACTTCGATACTGGTGTTTAATTAGAGAAAACTATTGCAGTATTTTGGAAAATGACTTCAATCTGTAATCCTGAACAAAATCTATCAGGAAATTTTACAGCTATGAGTTTTTCAAAGTGAACATTGAGTGTTCATAAAGACCTTCAACAGAAATTTCAATAAAGAAGCATTTTAATATGATATGATTGCTAGCATCTACAGCAAAAGACTTTCATTTTGTCGCGGTAATCCAATATAATAAGTGGATGATATGATTATAGCATTTTCTGCCACGCGCATAAAATTTTTCATAATACTTTTCTACTGTTCCTATAAACAGAGTGAGTGTGCCTATCTATACTGGCACAAAGCAAGTGTTATACAAAAGAACTATACAATATCAAAAGCTGTCAAACCTACTGTATAGTCACAAGGTGACTATCTGTAAAAACCTGAAAAACGCTTATCCTTTGTGCCCTTACTTTCCCTTCAGTTGTTTTCCCCTAAATGGTGAGGACAAATGATATCTCCTTTAAGGTCATCAAAATTAATGTCACCCCAACCACCAGATCTCTTATCAACTGGTCTGACTTGCGCGTATTGTCCGATGAATTCTTTTACATCCCAGCTCTTACGGTACATTGTCTCGTAACAGTTGCCTGTCTCATTTCTGACAACCTGAATGTAACAACAAACATATCAAATAGTTTTAAACCTTTGTTTTGATCAATGCTGATATAACTATCATGACCGTATCATACATTTATTCAAATTAAGAGCAACCTATTTCTATAGAAATCAAGGCAATACAGAATTGAATGTGCTGATTGCAATGCTCTGCACTTCAGAAAACAAACAAACAAACAAACAAAAATAACAACAACAAAAAAAACTCGTTTCAATGTTGTGTAAGTCAAAGACAAAGAAAGTGTACCAGAGGCGAGGCTGGTTCCCTTGTGGAACCTTTCTTGACGAAACTCAAAATAAGCTATTCATAAAGCAAAAAGCACATTAAAATGTGAAACACAGGCGTTTTCGATACTAGATTATTTTCAGGGTTACCATTGTTTATCCTGACGATGACCTTGTGTCAAAAACGTCTGGCTTTTTTTAAATACATTTTTTCCTTATAAATGGCTCATTGTAAACCTAAACGAATCTCATGGATATCACGAAGCTCAAAATGATTTCGCTATTTATCAAAAATCTCTGATACCTTGATAAATCTACCAAGGCTGTTTCAAAAGAATCAAAGGAAACATAATGGTCAAAGTAAATGATCTCACCTGGTTGTCGACAATAAGCTCCGCACGAATATCGTTTATGGTACATCCTCCACCAATGAGAAACGAGATATTCTTGCCAACGATACGGAAACAAGGAGAAATGAGAGTTCCCTGGGGGTGGATCGGCACTTTCTTGGTACAGCCTTCCTGCTGGATCGTTTTCGCCGGGTCGATTCTCAGCCCCCCCTATCCACCAGTCCCCTTGCTGCTGGGCGCTTTCCCTGTTGCGTGCTGCTGGATTGTCACCAAATGTTGGTTGGTGAATGAAAGCTGTGCCTTTCATTTCCCATCACCGATTCCATCTTCAAAGTCAAGACTGCAAGCTGGTGAGAAAGAAAGAAGAAGAAATGTTTAGCCCGCTGAATGCTCTATGACTATCATTCGATATTATAAACTCCACTTCACAGCTCAGTGCTTACCTTTATTGCAGTATGCGCCAGTGATCCCTGAAGGACATTTGCAACGAAATCCTTTATCTGTGTATCCAGCTTGACAAGTGCCATTGTTGTAACAGGGACTGTTACCACAGGGATTCTGTTAGAGACAATAGGGATTGCGTCTTAAAAATAATTTTGAGTAGTTCACATATTCGTCTATTGCTTTATCTTAAAGCTACAATAAAAGTGTGTTACATTTAGACCATTTTACTTGCAAGTAATCGATCCTCTAATATGCAACTAACTGATCGTTTAATAGATAGACAGTTGAATCGCCTGAAAGATCAGTGATAGACTATTCCGAAGAAATGACCATATAAGCTTTCTTAACTTCTTGTCTACGCTCTCGTTACGTCACTGCTAAAAGGATAGCCTAAAAGAATATTTTTGGCCATATGAAATCAGTCTGAAGTACCTCAATGGAAACGTAGATATGACCCTCTTTACTTTGTAGGGCAGACGAGCTTTTATTTCCTCCCGTAGCATTGTTTAACTCGCAAATGAAGTTTCCTCCTTGAGTAACAGGTCGAACATTTATGGACACACAATTGGGCTCCATATAACAAATTACTTTACAGCTGCCCTCATGAGGCACCTCCATACTTCTGATAACATTTCCCTGCATGACTTTGTCTTGTACTGGTTGATTCCAAACAATGTGGCGGCATCCGTCATCTTTTTAGCAAATACCAAATCGGTATGAAAAAAAAAAAAGGGGTTCTGGTTTTGAATCGAATATTGAAGCAATTGTTAACCAAGACAGTTTACAGCTCTTCACCTCCGAGACTGACGACTATTTGGCGACTATTTATTTCAGGACTGACCACAATTTTCAGAAACAATTACTTACGGGTAGGTCCAATTCCTCGAAAGAGACGGCAGTGCACGCAAAAAATATTTATCTGCTTGTAGAGTTTAGCTTATGCTATCCTTTTAATTATCAAATTTCGAAGGTTGAAACTTCCTTCTTTAGAAGAATTGGGCACAAAGAGGACAAATTTCAGATGGAATCTAGACATCCCGAGATCTAAACTCGCCTTAAACCGAGACCTCCGCAATATTCCTTTAAAAGAAAACATTTCTACCAGAACCTTCTATTTTGGACAGCTACAGTATAATCGTTGCCTTTAAGGCAGACAGAAATCTTCTGGTTGCTAGGAAAGGTCCTTTCTGTTTTTATTGTTCTTCTTACGTAACGATTATCCTACTAGGAGAGTTACTAGGTGTAGTTTAGTGGCTTACAATCTCTTAGCAAATTTTCATCCCATCCTAAGAAACGTTATTTACCTGAACAACCACCACGGTCTCCAATTGATCCTTTCTTGCAAGCACAACCATAAGAGCCATTTGTGTTTACACAGGACGCATTCACACCACAAATAATGCTGGAATTTGCGCACTCGTCAATGTCTAAAGAAAAAAGATTATCGAGTTATTATGTAAGCTAAGGGAAAGCAATTTGAGAGGTTAATAGAAGACAATTTACTTCTGTAAACGACTAAGACCACATGTTAATTTAATTTTGACGTGAAATATGGACGGCTCTATTAATATTAGTCGTTATTGTATCGCTGCCAGTGCCCGTGGGTATTTTGAAGAAAATCCTGTCTTCTGATTGGCTACCTGAGCGGGTAAAATGGGCCCATCATGCCCGCTCGGGATTGCACGGTTTGGTCCTTCGCAAGAAGGAAAATTTCTTGGAGCAAACACATAGATGAGTTTGGATAGTGTTAGCGACAGAAACAAAAAGCGGTAAAAGACGGTCAAAATAATGAAAACTCTCATGGGTTTATTAGATTACAAAAAAATTCAGCTCTCTTTCCCTTCTCTTCAAATAAACAAGTATTTCTTGATTTCTAGTAAAGCGGAATCTTTTTGCTATATGATAAATCCTTTATTGGACAAGCTTCTTCGGTCAAGATGGCTGGATATTGGCCTAGATCTTTTTTGGCGTTCTAGAGTTACAGTTATAGGAGCCACTGGTTTTGATGCAGTTGGCATTCGCGTCACAAAGGTGGCTGCCTTTCCTGCTTTTATCGAAATCTGAGAGACGATTTAAGAATACAGGTACCTCTGAGCATCAGACCTCGTTCATCTATGATATCCACACTTGGGGAGAGTAGAGCTCCCTCGAACATCACAAGTCTCAAGCCTTAAATAAAGAGTCTTATCCATTTAGGCGAGCAAAGGTGTTTGGGTGAAAGTAGTGTTAGAAAGAGCCTAGTAGACAATGCTCAACAGACATCCTTACCAGCCACAAAAGATTAAAAGAAAATGGAAATGGAAATGTTTGGCCAGAGGTAGTGCAGCTTAACTGACAAGATGAAGGGTCACCACATAGGAAACTAGCGAATGGCCACTTAAAATTAACAATAAACGGACCAAGGGAAGTTAAAAGAGAGACAAGGTTGACGTTGTCCAAAGAGCAGAGGAAGAAACGAGGACAAATGAAATATTTTATAGAGAATGTGGTTACCCTGACCGGGAGAGAGAACCACCTCAGTCTTTAGAAGAAAAGCTTTCAGGAAATCCAAAATGGGAGGCAACCAATAAAATTGTCGGATCTGACTGACAAAATGCGACTTCTTAACCCTAAGCAGAGGTAAAGAAAAAATAGATGAAATAGAAATTAACAGAACAAAACAAACAATCTAAAAATAGACTTTGACGGGAATTGGTTGGAATGAAATGAGACAGGCCAACCTCCATTTCCCAAGTTTATATCGCATTCAAACATAAAAAAGTGCATACCTGAGCTATTCTCAATTTTATTTCATCTCTGACTTCAACTGGCAGAAACGTTTTCAATCACAGTAAAAACGACAATAACAACAAATAACACTGAATAATACAGTACGTAACCGTCGTGATATTTAGTTTTGATAAACTTCAACATGAAGCAAGTTTAATTTATTGATGAATTGATTCATGATAAAATTAACAGGGTCCCATTCTTAGAGTTTTCATACAGGATTAAAGAAATGTATCAAAGAACAGCCCTTTCGCTGTTTTATGCCCTGCTCAATTACAAGTGTACTGAACCCTAAAATCTTGGATCCGGCGCTTGCCAACAATCGTGTTTCCTTTCGGGAATTCAGCATAAAGCGGTAAATTTTCCCAAAATACACCGAATAAACCAAAGGAAGGGACCAGGTTATCCTGGAAATGAGTTCTGAAATAATTCCAAACAGCATTATCTCGTTTATAAGCGCAAAATTTACGCAAATCCCAGACGTTTTGATCGCGACGGGATAACCAGGGTAATGACGTCCTGAACTTGTTGGGGAGAACGGAAACGCCAACACCGGATGTCTAAATAGAGTCATGTCCAGACTATCCGCGCGCTTTCCCGTTCTGAAATGACGTTCCCGTCCTCTTGCTAAATCACTCTAATATGCACGCAGCCTACGTCATCGGTACGAGCGCGCGCAATTCACGAGGCATTATTTTAAAAGAAATAAACAAAAAACTCCTCAAGCATTGTTGAGTTATATAAGCACTCGAGAAGTGCGAGAGGCTCTCGCCTTCGGCTCGTGCTCCTCCGCACTTTTCTCGTGTTGTTAAAAATTCCCGCCTGCTTGTATAACTAAAAAATGCACTCGGCGCGCTTTTTATTTCTTTAATAATTCACTTCAAAAAAGCATTTAAAAAAATCAAGCAGACGAAATTTGGATAGTGCGCGCTCTGTTTGTAATTTGCACACGTTTTACAACGTTGCTCCGGTTTACATAAAAAAAAAAATTGGATTCCTCTTTAGCCAATCAGAAGCGCGTAACTTTTTCACGTATATTATAACTCACTTGACAGTACGACTTGATCTTATATATAGTGTACTGGCGGGTCTTTCTTCTTTTAAGACGACATAAAAAACGGACGCTAAAAAATATCTTTACATGGTCCAGGTCACGAAGACATCATTTGGTTTACCCATCGTTTTATTATATTTTTTCCAATTCCGAAGCAAAGCTATCAATGGAGTGAGGTTTGGAAAGATTATTATTGTAAAGAGATGAAATTATGAAACAGAAGAATACAAGTCCTAAGTTTCGATGCTTTGGAGTGTACTTTTATTAGGAATAAAGTTTCTGTATTCTAATTGCCGCACTCATAGTACACTCTGTGCATGCACGTTTCAAGTAAATATTCCTCACTAAGATTTAAAATGAAAATTACAATGTTGTATTTCCATGGTTAAAATCGATTGACCAAACTGTGATGTACACATTCTAAAATGATACTTGCGCTAAAAAGATAAAACTAAATATCTTTTCATTTGTGAAAATTTGTAAAGCTAATATATAATGAAGTACTGACAGCTTTTCAGGGGATAAGTGATCAGTTCTTACAATATGCTACGGTATAACTTACCGAATATTAAGAACTACAAGACCCAAATATGAACGCTGACAAGGAGGCAAACAGGAAAATGTAATAAAGTTATCTCGTTTATGTAAACTTTTGGAGACGTTTTAATCGAATTAACTTCATTCCCCAGATGACAGTTTGTTTCCAACTCTGTAGACCAAACAATTTTTTTTTTTCTTTAGTTCAGAATTGTGCTTCTCTGTAACACTTGTGTCAGGTTTTTTGACTCCCGCCAGTATGAGCTATTTTAAAATCACGTTTCGTAAGATATTACTAACAGGAAGTAGGCTCTCGTCCCATCGAAACATTTAAAATTCTAGTATTTACAATTTAGCAACTTTGATCCAAGAGTTTTGCTTACAAGGAAGAGACTTACAGCTGTACAAGAATTCATTGGTTGAACTGAGTGCAACAGAAAGGAAGTTAAAAATAACAAAATGCAAAAAATCAAAATGGTCCGATACAAGATCTTGCGAGGTTTCCAAGATTAAGAACCTCGTTTTATTAATGCAAAATGCTACCCAATACATGATACATTAACATAACTAGTGTTACTTGGACGTGTCGACCAATGAACTCTTCTACGTTCCAGCTCTAACGGTACATAGTCCCCGAACAGTTACCTGTCTCATTTCTGACAACCTTAACGTAATGACAAGCACAAAAAATTTTATACCCTTGTTTCCATCGACGCTGACGTAGGTAGCATAAATGTATTGAAATGAATTTTGTGTGTCGCAATCAGTTCTTATATGGTGCGTGTGCTGATTGCAATGGATTGCACTTAAAAAATGTAGTATAAGTTTGGCAATTTTGAAAAACCGCTTTTGGAAGCTTATTCGAATGACTTCAATCTATAATCCTGAACAAAATCTACCGGGAGTTTTTACAGCTGGACTTTTCAAAGAGAATATATTGAGTATTCATAGCTTCAACAGATATTTCAACAACGAAAAAGAAGCATTCTAAGATATGGTTGCTAGCATCTACAGCAAAAGACTTTCATTTTTAAAAATGTCGCGGTAATACAATATAATAAGTGGATGATATGTGTAACACTGCTTGCCACGCGCATAAAATTGTTCCATAATACTTTTCTACTGTTCCTATAAACAGAGTGAGTGTGCCTATCGATGCTAACACAAAGCAAGCGCTCCTCAAAAGAACCATGCAACATCAAAAGCTGTTAAACCTTACTGTATAGTCACAAGGTGACTATCTGCAAAAACCTGAAAAACGCTTATCCTTCGTGCCCTTACTTTCCTTTCAGTTGTTTTCGTCTTAGTAGTGAGGACAAATGATATCTCCTCTAAGGTCATCAAAGTTGATGTGACCCCAACAACAATTCCTCTCATCGACTAGTCTGACTTGGGCGTATTGACCAATGAATTCTTTTACGTCCCAGCTCTTACGATACATTGTCTCTTTACAGTTCCCTGTTTCTATTCTGACAACCTGCATGTAACAACAAACATAGCAAACAGTTTTGAACCTTTGTTTCGATCAATACTGACATATCTATCATGACTGCATCATACATCAATTCAAATAAAGAGCAACCTCTTTCTACTGAAATCAAGACTTTACCGTATTGAATGTGCTGATTGCAATGTTCAATGTGCGCCAAACGCGAGCTCGGTTCCCTCTTGGAACCTCTCTTTATGGAAACTCAAAATGAGCTATTTTCAGGGAAACCATCATTTATCCTGATGATGATCTAATGTCGAAAACGTTTGGCTTTTCATTTTTTAACATATATTTTTTCCTTGTAAATAGTTTCTTCCAAACCTAAACAAATCTCATGGATATCACGAAGCTCAAAATGGTTTCGCAGTTTTGAAAGACCAAATCTCTGATTATTTAAAAAATCTACCCAGGCTGTTTCAAAAGAATCGAATGAAACATGATGGTCAAAGTAAGTAATCTCACCTGGTTGTCGACAATAAGCTCCGCACGAATATCACTTATGGTACATCCTCCACCGATGAGAAACGAGATATTCTTGCCAACAATACGGAAACAAGGAGAAATGAGAGTTCCCTGGGGTGGATCGGCATCAGCTGGGTGATGCCTTCCCGCAGGATCGCTCTCGCTGGGTCGTTTCTCAGCTCCCCCTACCCACCAGTCCCCTTGCTGCTGGGCGCTTTCTCTGTTGCGTGCTGCTGGATTGTCACCAAATGTCGGTTGGTAAATGAAAGCTGTGCCTGTCATTCCCCATCCACCAATTCCATCTTCAAAGTCAAGGCTGCAAGCTAGTGAGAAAGAAAAAAGAGGAAGTGTGTATCCCGCGGAATACTCTACGACTATCATTCGATGTCGTAAATCTCGATTCCATAAATTTGTTTTCAATTACTTTTATTGCAGTATGCGCCGGTGAACCCTGAAGGACATTTACAACGAAATCCTTTATCGGTGTATCCAGCTTGACAAGTGCCATTGTTGTAACAGGAACTGCTGCTGCAGAGATTCTGTTAGAAACAAAAGAAATTCCGTCTTATAAATAGTTTTGCGAAGCTCACATATTCGTCCATTGCTTTATCTTAAAGCTACTATAAAAGTGCATTATATCTAGACCATTTTACTTGCAAGCAATCGATCCTCTAATATGCAACTAACTGATCGTCTAATAGATAGACAGTTGAATCGCCTGAAAGATCAGTGATTGACTATTCCGAAGAAATGACCATATAAGCTTTCTTAACTTCTTGTCTACGCTCTCGTTACGACACTGCTAAAAGGATCGCCTAAAAGAATATTTTTGGTCATATGAAATCAGTTCGAAGTACCTCACTGGCAACGTAGATATGACCCTCTTTACTTTGTAGGGCAGATCTTTTATTTCCTCCCGTAGCATTGTTTAACTCACAAATGAAGTTTCCTCCTTGAGTAGCAGGTCGAACATTTATGGACACACAATTAGGCTCCATATAACAAATTACTTTACAGCTGCCCTCATGAGGTACCCCATACTTCTGATTACGTTTCCCTGCATGCGTTTGTCTTGTACTGGTTGATTCCACACAATGTGGCGGCATCCATCATCTGTTTCAGCAAATATCAAATCAGTATGAAAAAAAGGGGTTCATATTATTGTTGACCTTTTGGTTTTGGATCGCATCCGCAGCAAAAGGAGTGAAGCACGTGGGGCAAAACTTTTCCTAGTAATTTTTTTATTTATGATTTTGTATAATATTAATCCTTCTTGATTTATTTATTTATTTCAGCTTGCTAAGCTTTGTAAAATACTGGCTGTTGTATATTATTATCAGTTTTTCTGAAGTTATGTGAAGAGGTAATTCGAGTTTCATGAACTGAGGATTTTATATTCAGAAACTCCTGTTTACTTTACTTGTATCCAATATTGAAGCAATTATTAACCAAGGCAGTTTACAGAGTTGAGCTTATGCTATCCTTTCAATTATCAAATTTCGAAGGTTAAAAATACCTTCTTTAAAGAAACAGGGTACAAAGAGGAAAAATTTCAGATGGAATCTAGACATCCTGACATCTAAAATCGCTTTAAACCGAGACCTCCGTAATATTTCTTTTAATGAAAACTTCTCCACAAGTACCTTCTGGTTTGGGCATAAACACAGTATCATTGTTGCCCTTTAAGGTAGAGAGAAATCTTCTGGTTGCTAAGAAAAGTTTTTTCTGTTTTTATTTTGATTCTTCTTCCAACTTGACGATTATCCTACTTGGACAGTTACTAGATGTAATATCTTTCAGTGAGCATACAATCTCTTAGCATATTCTCATTCCATCCTAAAGAAACTTAATTTACCTGAACACACACCACCATCTCCAGCTGATCCTTCCTTGCAACTACAACCATAAGAACCATTTGTGTTTACACAGGTCGCATTCACACCACAAATGATGCTGGAATTTGCGCACTCGTCAATATCTAAAGAAAAAGGTTTATTAAGTTAATACGTGAGCTAAGGGAAAGCAATTTAAAAGCTGGATAAAGGATAAATTACTATTAGTAATGGCTTAGACTACAAGTTAATTTAATTCTGACGAGAAATATGGACGGCTCTATAAATATTAGTTGTTATCATATCGCCGCCAGAACCTGTGGCCATTTTTAAGCGAATCCTGTCTTCTGATTGCCTACCTAAGCGAGTAAAATGGGCCATCACGCCCGCTCGGGATTGCACGGTTTAATTCCCCGCAAGAAAGAAAATTGCTTGGGGTGAACTTACAAGAGAGTTTGTAAGTTATGGACAGTGTCAGCAAAGGAGTCGCAAAAAGCGGTAGAAGGCAGGCAAAGTAAAGAAAACTCTCGTGGGTTTATTGGGCTGCAAAAACAGTTGGCTCTCTATCCCGTCTCTTCAAGTTAACAAGTGCTTTTTGATTCTTAATGAAGCAAAATCTTTTTGCCACGTGATAAATGCTTTATTGGCCAAGCTTGTTCGGTCAAGATGGCTGGATATTAGCCGAGGTCTTTTTTCAGCGTTTTTATGGACCGAGTCGAAACAAGTATAAGAGCTGCTGGTGTTGATGCAGTTGGTATTCGCGCCTTAAAGGTGGCTGCCTTTCCTGCTCTTATCGATATCTGAGAGAAGATTTAAAAACACAGGTACGTCTGAGCATCAGACCCCGTTCATTAATGATATCCACTCCCTCGGACATTACAAGTCTAAAGTCTTAGGAAGAGTGTCTTATCCATTTAGGCGAGTAAAGGTCTTTGGGTGAGAGTAGTATTGGAAAGAGCCTAGCAGCCAATGCTCAACAGATACCTTACCAACCACATACATTGAAAAGAAAACGGAAATATCAATTTTTGGTCAGAGGTGGTGCAGAATAACTGCCAAGATGAAAGGTCAAAACATAGGAAACTAAGGAATGACCACTTTGCGTTCCTGCATAACATAGACAGTAAAGGGACGAAGGGAAGTTAAAAGAGAGACCAAGTTGACATTCTCCAAAGAGCAGAGGAAGCAACGAGGACAAATGAAATGAAATATAGAAGAATGTGGTAACTCTGACCAGGAAGGATAACTAACTCAATCTTTGGAAGAAAAGCTTTCAGGAAATCCAAAATGGGGAAGCAACCAAAAGTCGAATCCGACTGATAAAATGCGAATTCCTAATCCTGAGCTGAGGCAAAGAACGAATCGGCTGGAAGAATGCGGCAGACGTACTTCGCTGACGATGGTGCAAAGAAGATACATTCTATGTGCTGCAAAGTAAGTTCATCATACCTGTGCATACATGTCCAGTTCCGTTGTATCCCTCCTTGCATGTGCATTCATACGAGCCATTAGTGTTTACACAGGTCGCATCCACACCACAAAAGATGCTGGAATTTGCGCACTCGTCAATATCTAAAGAAAAAAGATAACGTAAGCTAAGGAAAGTAATTTAAAAGGTTGATAAAGGATAATTTACTTCTGGAAATACTTAGACTACATTTTAATTTGATTCTGACGAGAAATATGGACGACTCTATCAGTATTAGTTGTTATTATATCGCTGCCAGTGCCCTTGCGCATTTTGAGGCGAATCCTGTCTTCTGATCGGCTACCTGAGCGGATAAAATGGGTCCATCATGCCCGCTTGGGATTGCACGGTTTAAGTCTGCGCAAGAAAGAAAATTGCTCGGAGCGAACTTACAGAAGAGTTCGTAAGTTATGGACAGTGTCAGCGACGGAGTCGCAAAAAGCAGTAGAAGACGGTCAAAATAAAGAAAAGTTGTGGGTTTATTGGGCTTCAAAAACAGTTGGCTCTCTTTCCCATCTCTTGAAATAAACAAGTATTTCTTGATTTTTAACGAAGCGAAATATTTTTGCTATGTGATAGATCCTTTATTGACCACGCTTGTTCGGTTAAGATGGATAGACATTGGTTAAGTTTTGTTTTCAGCGATTTTAAGGCCGAGACAAAACAATTGCAAGAGCAACTGTTGTTGGTATTCGCGTCACAAAGGTGGCTTCCTTTCCTGCTTCAGCATTAGACCCCGTTCGTTGATGATATCCACTCTTGTGGAGAATAGAACTCCCTCGGACATCACAAGACTCAAGTCCCAAGAAAAGTGTCTTATCCAATTAGGTGAGCGAAGGTTTGTGTGAGAGTAGTATTGAAAGAGCCTCGCAGCCGATGCTCGACAGATATTCTTACCAACCACAAAGAAATTTTCGATCGGCGGGCTTAACGGCTAAGATGAAAGGTCACAACATAGGAAATTAGAGAATGGCCACTTTGCGTTTCTATATAACCCAGACAATAAATAGACGGAGGGAAGTTAAAAGAGAGGCAAGGTTGACATTTTCCGAAGAGCAGAGAAAGCGACGAGGAAAAATGAAATGAAATAATGACGAATTTGGTATCTCTGACCACGATAGATACTCAGCTCAATCTTTGGAAGAAAAGCTTTCAGGAAATACAAAATGGGGAAGCAACCAAGAAAAGTTTCGGATTCGACTGACAAAATGCCAGTTACTAACCGTAAGCAGAGATTAAAACGAAGTAAGTTCATCATACCTGTACATACATGTCCAGTTCCATTGTATCCCTCCTTGCATGTGCATTTATACGAGCCATAAGTGTTTGAACAGTTTACATTCACGTCACAGAGCAAGATATCACTCTTACATTCATCGATGTCTAGGAGATAAATGGTAAATAATGAAAGAATAGATGAAATAGAAATTAACAGAAAAAAACAAAAAATTAAAGAAAAATATCTTTTGACAGGTATAGGTTGAGATAAAATGAAATAGGCTAACCTCCAGTCCCCAAGTTCATATCGCAAAACATCAACTCTGTCTCTCCATTACCAGTTGGATTAGCCAGTACTTGTTGCTAGTGGAATCTTTTCCCTCACTTGCCTTTATTTCTTGGCAAGACATTGCTGGTAATTCCAGAATAGAACCCAGAGGTGCTGCAATACATAAAAGATTGCAAAATTAATTCGTGGGATAACTACTTAGATAATTTGCAAAAATTTTAAGTTTTGAGCTCGGTAGAAATAGAGAAAGATGTTTTTCGTATTGTCACGAGCGTGGGACAAATAAAAAGTTCTGAGTTCCCATGAGGAATCGAACCTCAGACCTTCGGTTTCCGCGCTCCGATGTACCACTGAGCCTCAGAGACTCTTAGGTAGGCGTGGCCCATTACGAAGTTCATACATAACGCACGTCCTGCATACTGCTAGAATGTCGACAGCGTCATGTTTTTGTAAATAGAATAAGAGAGATAGTAGGTAATTTTCTCTTTGTCCCACGCTCGTGACAAGACGAAAAACATCTTCCTCTATGTGCTCTTACCTTACTCTGAAAGCGAAGGGTAAAACGGTTTTTAAAGCATGTTAAAAATACTATAAAATATGAAAACATCAAAGGTAAATATCATTTATGAATAAATTGACGTTTTAACAAATTCAACCTTTTTTTTCCCCACTTTCATTTCTCTTAGATAAGCATCAGAACTAACATTTTTTCAAATGTGTTAAAACACAGAAGCAGTAAGATAAGTTTATCGGAAAAACCTAACTCAACATTTTTCTTGAAAATGAAATTTGTTAAAAAAAAAACTGATAAATGTCCTAAAGAAGCACCTGTCAGGGTTGCTCCGGCGACACCGTGAAAAACACAGAAACTTTAAAGCAAAACACGATTTAAAAAATAAAACAACATCTTGAAGTTAGAATTCGAACCCATACGTGATAGTCTTCCCAAAACTTTCCTCGTGAGGGCCGCACGCGATCATGAGAACAAAGCTGGAAAAACTTGCATGAGCTGGCTTACAATCCGGCGTGATGCAATATGGTAAATTGTCAGTCAGAAGAAGATCGACAGTCTTAGGATAAAACGCTCCTTGTCTGAATTGGGTCGTGCCGGACCCGAAAACACTTTGCTCTCAGTCATAACGTGCGAACGAGTAGGGTCTTCTCACTGCATCAGAAACTACATTCTGTGCTATAAAATATACTTTATGAGTAAATCTTTCTTAGTCAACATTCTTGAACTTAAAACATACCCCTTCCGTTTAAACGCCGGATATAAAACCAACCCGGGGCCGAGCGAAAACTTTCAGGCCTCGCCTCTTTGGTGCGGTTGTTCAATTCGCAGATCTTTTCCTTTCTGTTGTAGTTATAGCTTTGGCAGGTAATGTCTTGTCCACACCGAATATCACAGATGTGAGGAGCTAATGCTGAAACCCTTTTAAACACGAACTTTTCAAGTTTCATGCCTTGAATGTTGATCTCCATCTTGCACTGTTCATTAGCACATACGCGGCCCACGGAAAAAGCCAAGATAAAGAAACAAAAATGTTGCCACAGCATTTTTCCTGTAAGAATAAAGCATTAATCCATGCTTAGCGTGCGTATATGGCGTTGTGGATGCATATGGAGAGTTTAGAGAGCACGAAGTGCAGCCGAGAGCAACTCTAGCCTCTTGGGAAACTATTTTTTAAGTCTTTCTTTTCGTTTGTTGGTGACATTTTTAACTGCTCGAGGGATTCTTATCCAGAAATCATGAGTTTGAGATTTTTAAAGCATTAGATGTAAAATAACATCCGGTTTTCTAGCCATTCCTCCCTAATTTTACATCAAAACTGATGAAAAGAAAGCTTCCTTACCTTTAAATAGAAAATTAAAGCACAGCCATTTGAGGTGTTCTTCGGAGTGGATCACCATCTGGAAAGTTTGCATTTTGAAGTTGTTCAGTGGCTGTTGTAATTGTTTAAATTAAAAAAAAAAGAAACAAAAACGAAAGTCTAGTTTAACAGCTTGAGCCTCTGTTTTCTGGCAAACTGTTATGAATGCAAAATAATCTCATATTCATAACATCAGTTTGATTGTATATTGTGAATAATATCACCGGGTTATTGATAATTTAATTATTTGTGAATAATATCACCGGGTTATTGATAATCTATGTTTCATAGATAATTTTTTTATCATGATTTATGAGATGGCGCGTACATGTTTAAATCTAGATATAAACCACTTTCCGAACAGGTGGAATTCAAAATACAAATATAAAATTCATAATTGGAGCTCAAGAGGGAAACAGTGAACAGAAGTCTAACAATCTTTGCTTTACTTATACTTCAGTTTTTTCACCAAAGAAAGATTTTGCCTTAGCGGGTACCTCTGTAATTTTTCCGTTAGATTTTGAATGTATACCGAAGCAAGTTGTGACAACCAGAGGCCAGTTACCCGTCGAAGAGGAAAGCAAATAATTTACATCTCTCTTAAAATCGATCCCAATGTAAATGAACTACTATTGGAAATTTGATCACTGCGTCAAATTTCGCCAACAAATGGGTATTTTGTAAGATATTCCAATCGGGGATAATCTTGATAGAACTCTCCTGTGGCCAGACATAGCCGGTCCATCACTTTCAAATTGAAAAAAAGTTCTATTTAGAGGAGATATTCAAACTATGGAAATGAATTGAAAGAAAATCAACAAAATCAAATTCAAAACCCTGTCAAGTTAGCTTCGGAGCATTTAGAGGATAACGGAATAATCATATCGCTATAAAAGAAAAAGATTAAAAGTGAAACGGAAGCTTCCAAGATTACCAGTCATGCACTGAAATAACAGTCTACATCATTTTCACAGCAGCCATCTCTCCCCAGCTAAAGGCAAAAATATTTTGTGGATTTAAATGCGTTTTCGCATAGCAAAACTTGAACTGACTCTAGTTGGTCTACTTAACAGAATGTTCTCAAGAAGATGTTCGAGCTGTCGTTAATGGCAAGGACAGGTGCTCCTTCAATGATTGTGGATTACACACGACGCTAGTCACAAAGACGCCAGCGTGGACCAATTATTAACTATCCAGCCAATCACACAAATGCAATGCTTAAAACACCTTCAGAATAGTTCTATTCAGGCAAACGGTCTTTAAAGTCTTTGACATTTTAACTTTTCGAGCGATTGTTTTCTAAGGAATTATTTAAGCATTAATCAGGCATTAATTACTGCATAATATCCAGGTTTACAGCCATTCCTCCTAAACTATACATCAAAACTGGTGAAGAGAAGGGTCCCTTACCTTTAAAGAGGAAATTAATGCACAGCCATTTGAGGTGTTCTTTAGCAAGGACCATCATCCGAAAATTTTATATTTTAAAGTTTTTGGTTGTTGTTATAAAGCTATTGTTTAAATAAAACTAAACAAAACGAAACAAAACGAACATGTAATTGAATTCAGTCCCCTGCCTTCCTGAAAGTGTAGTCTGACAGCTTGAGCCACTGGGTTTTGGTAAATTGTGATGAATGCAAAATAGCCTCATATTCATTATATTTTGATTGTGAATTAAAAATGATAACACTTGGTGAGTGATAATTTGCCCCTAAATTGCTCGTGACCGCTGTAAATTAAAGATAATAACAGAACCATCACTGTTAAACAGGTTGATAAAAAGTTCACTTTAGCCTTTTGTCAAATCGGAGAAACGATCAGCCGGCTTTAAGCATTATGCATCCGAAATATGAGTTCGAGTTCTGCTTTTCCAAAGTTTGAAAAATTTGCAAGCGCTTATTTTCATAAAATTGCACGAGAAGTGTTGCTAATCACTTGCTAGTTATTCACTTCGAAAAAAGCAGTACAGAAAATCAAGCAGAAGAAATTTTGACAGTGCACGCACTGTTTATAGTTTGCACTCGTTTTACAACTTGTTTTCAGCCAACCAGAAGCGAACATATTGTTCATGTATGTTATTATTCACGTGGCAAAAAAACTTGATCTTATAGTGTACTAGCGGGTCTTTGTTCGTTTAAGACGTCATAAAAGAAAACGGATGCTGAAAAATGTCTTTACATCGTCCAAGACACGAAAACACTGTTTTGTTAACCCATCGTTTTATTATATTTTTTCAATTCCGAAGCAAAGCGATCAATGTAGTAAGGTTTGGAAAGATTTCATTGTAAAGGGAAAACCTTATGAAACAGAAGAATACAAGTCCAAAGTGCTGATGTTTTGGAGTGTATCTTTATTAGGAATAAAGTTTCTGTATTCTAATTAACTTTTGCCTCACTCGTAGCAGACCCTGTGCTTGTACGTTCCAAATAAATATTCCTGAATAAGGTTTAATATGAAAATTTCAATGTTGTGTTTCCATGCTTAAAAACCGATTGACCAAACTATGACCTAAACATTCTAAAGTGATATTTACGCAGAAAAGATAAAATTAAATATCGTTTTACTTTAAAAATTTGTAAAGCTAACAAACAATGAAGTACTGATACATTTTCGGAGATCAGTTTCTACAATTTACTACGATATAACTTACCGAAGATTTAGAACTGCAAGACCCAAATATGAAGTGTGGCAAGGAGGCAAACAAGAAAATGTGATAAAGTTTTCTCGATTATGTAAATTTTTTAGAGACGTTTTAATCGGATTAATTTCACTCTGCAAATCATAGTTCGTTTCCAACTCTGTAGACACAACACAAATGTTTTTCTGTATTCTACAAATGTGCTTCTCTGCAACACTTGTGTCAGGTTTGTTTGACTCCCGCCAGTCTGAGCTATTCTAAAATCATTTTTCGCAAAATATTACTAACTGGAAGTAGGCTCTCGTCCCATGAAAACATTTAAAGTTCTAGTATTTACAATTTAGTAACTTTGATGCAAGAATTTTGCTTACAGGGAAGAGAACTCTAGTCGCCATAGCTTACAGCTGTAAAACATTTCATTAGCTGAACTAAGTACAGCAGAAAGGTCAAAATGTAAGAAATCGAAATGGTGCGATACATTATCTTGCGAAGTTTCCAAGACTAAGAACAATTGAAGAACCTCGTTTGATAACGCCAAATGCTACCCACAATATACTATATTAACATAACTAGTCTGACTTGAGCATGTTCATCAATGAACTCTTCTACCTTCCAGCTCTTTTGTTACATAGTCTCCGAACAGTTACCTATTCAATTCTGACCATTTTAACGTAATGACAAACAAAAACTTTTATACCCTTGTTTCAATCAATGCTGACGTAGGTAGCATGACTGTATTGAAGGGATTTTTTTGTGTCGAAATCAGTTATAATATGGTTCTGCGTGTGCTGATTGTAATGGGTTACACTTAAAAAAATGCAGTATAAGTTTAATAATAATAATTTTGAAAAACCAAATCTCAGATACGTTACGTTGTCAATCTACCTAAGCCTACTGGCCTTCAATTTGGGAAAACCATTGCACTATTTTAAAACCTGTTTTGGAAGCTTACTCGAAAATGACTTAAATCTGTAACCTTGAACAAAATCTATTTGGAGTTTTTACACCATGAACTTTCCAAAGTAAATATATTGAGTTTTCATACCTTCAACAGAAAATTCAACAAAAATAGAAGCATTCTAAGATAATATGATTGCAAAAGACTTTCATTTTTAAAAATGCCGCGGTAATACAATTTAATAAGTGGATGACATGTATAACATTTTCTGCCACGCGCATAAAATTGTTTCATAATACTTTTCTACTGCTCCTATAAACAGAGTGAGTGTGCCTATCTATGCTAGCACAAAGTAAGTGCTATGCAAAAGAACTACAACATATCAAAAGCTGTTGACCCTTACTGTATAGTCTCAAGGTGGCTATCTGTAAAAACCTGAAAAACGCTTAACCTTTTGCCCTTACATTTCCCTTCAGTTGTCTTCATATAAATAGTGAGGACAAATGATATCTCCTTTAAGGTCATCAAAATTAATGTGATCCCAACCGCCAGATCCCTCATCAACTAGTCTGACTTGGGCGTATTGACCAATGAATTCTTTTTACATCCCAGCTCTTACGGTACATTGTCTCGTAACAGTTCCCTGTCTCATTTCTGACAGCCTGCATGTAACAGCAAACATATCAAATAGTTTTAAACCTTTGTTTCGATGAATTCTGACATATCTATCATGACTGTATCGAACATTTATTCAAATAAAGAGCAACCTCTTTCTATTGAAATAAAGACATTACCGCACTGAAGGTGGGTTTCAATGTTGTGTAAAGACAAAGACAAATAAAACGTGCCAGACGCGATGTTGGTTTGCCCGTGGAACTTCTCTCGAGTCACCTAAAATGAGCTAGGTATAAGGCAAAATATATTTGAAAAGAAAAAAAACCAAACATTGTCGATATCATCATTTTCAAGGTCACCAACATTTACCCTGATGATGACATAGTGTCGAAAACGTTTGACTTTTCATTTTTTTTACATATATCTTTTATTTGTGAATAGCTCATTGTAAACCTAAAGAAATCTCATGGATATCACGAAGCTCAAAATGGTTTCGCAATTTTGAAAGACCAAAAATCTCTGATACTTTGATAAATCTACCTAGGCTGTCTCAAAAGAATCAAATGAAACATGACGGTCAAAGTAAATAATCTCACCTGGTTGTCGACGATAAGCTCCGCACGAATATCATTTCTGGGACATCCTCCACCGATGAGAAACGAGATATCTCTGCCAACGATACGGAAACAAGGAGAAATGAGAGTACCCTTGGGTGAGTCGCCGTACTGTATTCCCGCAGGATCGCTCTCGCTGGGTCGTTTCTCAAGTCCCCCTACCCACCAGTCCCCTTGCTGCTGGGCGCTTTCTCTGTTGCGTGCCACTGGATTGTCACCAAATGTTGGTTGGTAAATGAAAGCTGTGCCTGTCATTTCCCATCCGCCGATTCCATCTTCAAAGTCGAAGCTGCAGGCTACATTAAAAACAAAAAAAGGAAGAGAAAAAAAAACTGAAATTGTCATCCCCAGAATATCCTATGGTTACATCTCCTCTTTACAGTTTTGTATTCAATTACCTTTATCGCAGTATGCGCCAGTGAGCCCTGAAGGACATTTACAACGAAATCCTTTATCAGTGTATCCAGCTTGACAAGTGCCATTGTTGAAACAGGGATTACTGCTGCATGGATTCTGATCAAGAAAAAAATTACTTATTATTATTTATATCCATGGTTGGTTCTTACTTATTCTCAAAGGAACACTGTCTTGCTGAAGCGATGATTTCTTCAGGCTTTTTGATCAATTGAAGACGAGAATCAGTTACACTTTGTCAGTAATTAAACCAGAAAATCGATTAATCGAGTTACTGGATAATTTGTTGGTCGACTAGTGGTTGATTTTTTTAGGATAGCTCCTACTCTTTCTAGCCACGGGTTCATTGATTTTTCTCTTTTTAACATTGTACCGATAACACCACTGGTGTACCTTAGCTTTGGTATTTTACCTTGTTGAGGTGATTCCTAATTTCCTTGAGTGTTCATTGCCAATCTCTGTTTCGAGAACTACCGTACAAAAGATAGGCCACGAAAGAGATATGATGGGCCAATGTTACCCCATTCATTCCCGTATTGGTACTATCATACAAAAGATAGGTCTCCAAAAGGATATGATGGGCCAACGGTACCCCATTCATTCCTGTATTGGCACCACCATACAAAAGATTGGTCACGAAGGGGATATGATGGGCCAATGTAACTCTATTCATTTCTGTATTGGCACTGATCACGTGCTTTATTTCATCGGTTCACGGTACATTTTACGGTAGTTTTTAAACGAACGTTTAAAAAGAAACACTTGAGTGATAGGTAGAGAGTCGATATATAAAACGTATGGAACAATGTAATATCTAATCTATGGAAAAATCACTCAATCTCACACGAAATAGGGTCAAAAAGTTTCTCGTGATGCGCGGTGCAATACTGAGGAATCACCCTAATTCAGTACAAGGACTGGAAGGCTAGTTTAAAAGTAATCCGACAAAATTATCACGCACAATAATTGTTTGCCGTCTGAAATAAGTCACTTTACCTCGATGCTGAAATGGGAATAATCTTGTTTACTCTGAAGGACAGATGAGCCTGGACTTTCGTCCGAAGCATTGTTTAACTCACAAATGTATTTCCCTCCTTGCGAAGGCCCCAAATTTATGGAAACACAATTGGGCTCCGTATAGCAAAGCACTTTACAGTCCACTTGGTGGGGTACCTCTACAAGCCTGATTAAGTACCCCTCCAAGACTTTGTCTTGTATTGGTTCTTTGAAATCAATGGATCGACATTCGTCACCTGTTTAGTATTTATATAACAAAAGAGAATGGAATGTTGAAATAAGGTTTTGGTTTAGAGAAAGAGGTTTCAATTGCAGGGTAATATCCCCAAAAAGTCAATTTGCCTCGAGAGACGCTAGATCATGGTTTCCTTCTGCCTTTTTTTGTTTTTTGTTTCTCCACAAGTACCTTCTGGTTTGGGCATCAACACAGTATTAGTGTTGCCCTTTAAGGCAGATAGAAATCTTCTGGTTGCTAAGAAAGGTTCTTTCTGTTTTTATTTTGATTGTTCTTCCAACTTGACGATTATCCTACTTGGACAGTTACTAGATGTATTATCTTTCAGTAAGCATACAATCTCTTAGCATATTCCCATTCCATCCTAAAGAAACTTAATTTACCTGAACACACACCACCATCTCCAGCTGATCCTTCCTTGCAACTACAACCATAAGAACCATTTGTGTTTACACAGGTCACATTCACACCACAAATGATGCTGGAATTTGCGCACTCGTCAATATCTAAAGAAAAAGGTTTATTACGTTAATACGTGAGCTAAGGGAAACAATTTAAAAGATGGATAAAGGATAAATTACTATTGGTAATGACTTAGACTACAAGTTAGTTTAATTCTGACGAGAAATATGGACGGCTCTATAAATATTAGTTGTTATCATATCGCTGCCAGAACCTGTGGCCATTTTTAAGCGAATCCTGTCTTCTGATTGGCTACCTAAGCGGGTAAAATGGGCCATCACGCCCGCTTGGGATTGCACGGTTTAATTCCCCGCAAGAAAGAAAATTGCTTGGGGCGAACTTACAAGAGAGTTTGTAAGTTATGGACAGTGTCAGCAACGGAGTCGCAAAAAGCGGTAGAAGGCAGTCAAAGTAAAGAAAACTCTCGTGGGTTTATTGGGCTGCAAAAACAGTTGGCTCTCTATCCATTCTCTTCAAGTTAACAAGTGCTTTTTGATTCTTAATGAAGCAAAATCTTTTTGCCACGTGATAAATGCTTTATTGGCCAAGCTTGTTCGGTCAAGATGACTGGATATTAGCCGAGGTCTTTTTTCAGCGTTTTTATGGACCGAGTCGAAACAAGTATAAGAGCTGCTGGTGTTGATGCAGTTGGTATTCGCGCCTTAAAGGTGGCTGCCTTTCCTGCTCTTATCGATATCTGAGAGAAGATTTAAAAACACAGGTACGTCTGAGCATCAGACCCCGTTCATTAATGATATCCACTCCCTCGGACATTACAAGTCTAAAGTCTTAGGAAGAGTGTCTTATCCATTTAGGCGAGTAAAGGTCTTTGGTGAGAGTAGTATTGGAAAGAGCCTAGCTGCCAATGCTCAACAGATACCTTACCAACCACATACATTGAAAAGAAAACGGAAATATAAATTTTTGGTCAGAGGTGGTTCAGCTTAACTGCCAAGATGAAAGGTCAAAACATAGGAAACTAAGGAATGACCACTTTGCGTTCCTGCATAACATAGACAGTAAAGAGAGAACAAGTTGACATTCTCCAAAGAGCAGAGGAAGCAACGAGGAAAAATGAAATGAAATATAGAAGAATGTGGTAACTCTGACCAGGAAGGATAACTAACTCAATCCTTGAAAGAAAAGCTTTCAGGAAATTCAAAATGGGCAAGCAACCAAAAGTCGGATCCGACTGATAAAATGCGAATTCCTAATCCTGAGCTGAGGTAAAGAACGAATCGGCTGGAAGAATGCGGCAGACGTACTTCGCTGACGATGGTGCAAAGAAGATACATTCTATGTGCTGCAAGTAAGTTCATCATACCTGTGCATACATATCCAGTTCCGTTGTATCCCTCCTTGCATGTGCATTCATACGAGCCATTAGTGTTTACACAGGTCGCATCCACACCACAAAAGATGCTGGAATTTGCGCACTCGTCAATATCTAAAGAAAAAAGATAACGTAAGCTAAGGAAAATAATTTAAAAGGTTGATAAAGGATAATTTACTTCTGGAAATACTTAGACTACATTTTAATTTGATTCTGACGAGAAATATGGACGACTCTATCAGTATTAGTTGTTATTATATCGCTGCCAGTGCCCTTGCGCATTTTGAGGCGAATCCTGTCTTCTGATCGGCTACCTGAGCGGATAAAATGGGTCCATCATGCCCGCTTGGGATTGCACGGTTTAAGTCTGCGCAAGAAAGAAAATTGCTCGGAGCGAACTTACAGAAGAGTTCGTAAGTCATGGACAGTGTCAGCGACGGAGTCGCAAAAAGCAGTAGAAGACGGTCAAAATAAAGAAAAGTCGCGGGTTTATTGGGCTTCAAAAACAGTTGGCTCTCTTTCCCATCTCTTGAAATAAACAAGTATTTCTTGATTTTTAACAAAGCAAAATATTTTTGCTATGTGATAGATCCTTTGTTGACCACGCTTGTTCGGTTAAGATGGATAGACATTGGTTAAGTTTTGTTTTCAGCGATTTTAAGGCCGAGACAAAACAATTGCAAGAGCAACTGATGTTGGTATTCGCGTCACAAAGGTGGCTGCCTTTCCTGCTTCAGCATTAGACCCCGTTCGTTGATGATATCCAGTCTTGTGGAGAATAGAACTCCCTCGGACATCACAAGACTCAAGTCCCAAGAAAGGTGTCTTATCCAATTAGGTGAGCAAAGGTTTGTGTGAGAGTAGTATTGGAAAGAGCCTCGCAGCCGATGCTCGACAGATATTCTTACCAACCACAAAGAAATTTTCAATCGGCGGGCTTAACGGCTAAGATGAAAGGTCACAACATAGGAAATTAGAGAATGGCCACTTTGCGTTTCTATATAACCCAGACAATAAATAGACGGAGGGAAGTTAAAAGAGAGGCAAGGTTGACATTTTCCGAAGAGCAGAGAAAGCGACGAGGAAAAATGAAATGAAATAATGACGAATTTGGTATCTCTGACCACGATAGATACTGAGCTCAATCTTTGGAAGAAAAGCTTTCAGGAAATACAAAATGGGGAAGCAACCAAGAAAAGTTTCGGATTCGACTGACAAAATGCCAGTTACTAACCGTAAGCAGAGATTAAAACGAAGTAAGTTCATCATACCTGTACATACATGTCCAGTTCCATTGTATCCCTCCTTGCATGTGCATTTATACGAGCCATAAGTGTTTGAACAGTTTACATTCACGTCACAGAGCAAGATATCACTCTTACATTCATCGATGTCTAGGAGATAAATGGTAAATAATGAAAGAATAGATGAAATAGAAATTAACAGAAAAAAACAAAAAATTAAAGAAAAATATCTTTGACAGGTATAGGTTGAGATAAAATGAAATAGGCTAACCTCCAGTCCCCAAGTTCATATCGCAAAACATCAACTCTGTCTCTCCATTACCAGTTGGATTCAGCCAGTACTTGTTGCTAGTGGAATCTTTTCCCTCACTTGCCTTTATTTCTTGGCAAGACATTGCTGGTAACTCCAGAATAGAACCCAGAGGTGCTGCAATACATAAAAGATTGCAAAATTAATTCGTGGGATAACTACTTAGATAATTTGCAAAAATTTTAAGTTTTGAGCTCGGTAGAAATAGAGAAAGATGTTTTTCGTATTGTCACGAGCGTGGGACAAATAAAAAGTTCTGAGTTCCCATGAGGAATCGAACCTCAGACCTTCGGTTTCCGCGCTCCGATGTACCACTGAGCCTCAGAGACTCTTAGGTAGGCGTGGCCCATTACGAAGTTCATACATAACGCACGTCCTGCATACTGCTAGAATGTCGACAGCGTCATGTTTTTGTAAATAGAATAAGAGAGATAGTAGGTAATTTTCTCTTTGTCCCACGCTCGTGACAAGACGAAAAACATCTTCCTCTATGTGCTCTTACCTTACTCTGAAAGCGAAGGGTAAAACGGTTTTTAAAGCATGTTGAAAATACTATAAAATATGAAAACATCAAAGGTAAATATCATTTATGAATAAATTGACGTTTTAACAAATTCAACCTTTTTTTTCCCCACTTTCATTTCTCTTAGATAAGCATCAGAACTAACATTTTTTTCAAATGTGTTAAAACACAGAAGCAGTAAGATAAGTTTATCGGAAAAACCTAACTCAACATTTTTCTTGAAAATGAAATTTGTTAAAAAAAAAACTGATAAATGTCCTAAAGAAGCACCTGTCAGGGTTGCTCCCGGCGACACCGTGAAAACACAGAAACTTTAAAGCAAAACACGATTTAAAAATAAAAACAACATCTTGAAGTTAGAATTCGAACCCATACGTGATAGTCTTCCCAAAACTTTCCTCGTGAGGGCCGCACGCGATCATGAGAACAAAGCTGGAAAAACTTGCATGAGCTGGCTTACAATCCGGCGTGATGCAATATGGTAAATTGTCAGTCAGAAGAAGATCGACAGTCTTAGGATAAAACGCTCCTTGTCTGAATTGGGTCGTGCCGGACCCGAAAACACTTTGCTCTCAGTCATAACGTGCGAACGAGTAGGGTCTTCTCACTGCATCAGAAACTACATTCTGTGCTATAAAATATACTTTATGAGTAAATCTTTCTTAGTCAACATTCTTGAACTTAAAACATACCCCTTCCGTTTAAACGCCGGATATAAAACCAACCCGGGGCCGAGCGAAAACTTTCAGGCCTCGCCTCTTTGGTGCGGTTGTTCAATTCGCAGATCTTTTCCTTTCTGTTGTAGTTATAGCTTTGGCAGGTAATGTCTTGTCCACACCGAATATCACAGATGTGAGGAGCTAATGCTGAAACCCTTTTAAACACGAACTTTTCAAGTTTCATGCCTTGAATGTTGATCTCCATCTTGCACTGTTCATTAGCACATACGCGGCCCACGGAAAAAGCCAAGATAAAGAAACAAAAATGTTGCCACAGCATTTTTCCTGTAAGAATAAAGCATTAATCCATGCTTAGCGTGCGTATATGGCGTTGTGGATGCATATGGAGAGTTTAGAGAGCACGAAGTGCAGCCGAGAGCAACTCTAGCCTCTTGGGAAACTATTTTTTTTAAGTCTTTCTTTTTCGTTTGTTGGTGACATTTTTAACTGCTCGAGGGATTCTTATCCAGAAATCATGAGTTTGAGATTTTTAAAGCATTAGATGTAAAATAACATCCGGTTTTCTAGCCATTCCTCCCTAATTTTACATCAAAACTGATGAAAAGAAAGCTTCCTTACCTTTAAATAGAAAATTAAAGCACAGCCATTTGAGGTGTTCTTCGGAGTGGATCACCATCTGGAAAGTTTGCATTTTGAAGTTGTTCAGTGGCTGTTGTAATTGTTTAAATTAAAAAAAAAAACGAAACAAAAACGAAAGTCTAGTTTAACAGCTTGAGCCTCTGTTTTCTGGCAAACTGTTATGAATGCAAAATAATCTCATATTCATAACATCAGTTTGATTGTATATTGTGAATAATATCACCGGGTTATTGATAATTTAATTATTTGTGAATAATATCACCGGGTTATTGATAATCTATGTTTCATAGATAATTTTTTTATCATGATTTATGAGATGGCGCGTACATGTTTAAATCTAGATATAAACCACTTTCCGAACAGGTGGAATTCAAAATACAAATATAAAATTCATAATTGGAGCTCAAGAGGGAAACAGTGAACAGAAGTCTAACAATCTTTGCTTTACTTATACTTCAGTTTTTTCACCAAAGAAAGATTTTGCCTTAGCGGGTACCTCTGTAATTTTTCCGTTAGATTTTGAATGTATACCGAAGCAAGTTGTGACAACCAGAGGCCAGTTACCCGTCGAAGAGGAAAGCAAATAATTTACATCTCTCTTAAAATCGATCCCAATGTAAATGAACTACTATTGGAAATTTGATCACTGCGTCAAATTTCGCCAACAAATGGGTATTTTGTAAGATATTCCAATCGGGGATAATCTTGATAGAACTCTCCTGTGGCCAGACATAGCCGGTCCATCACTTTCAAATTGAAAAAAAGTTCTATTTAGAGGAGATATTCAAACTATGGAAATGAATTGAAAGAAAATCAACAAAATCAAATTCAAAACCCTGTCAAGTTAGCTTCGGAGCATTTAGAGGATAACGGAATAATCATATCGCTATAAAAGAAAAAGATTAAAAGTGAAACGGAAGCTTCCAAGATTACCAGTCATGCACTGAAATAACAGTCTACATCATTTTCACAGCAGCCATCTCTCCCCAGCTAAAGGCAAAAAATTTTTTGTGGATTTAAATGCGTTTTCGCATAGCAAAACTTGAACTGACTCTAGTTGGTCTACTTAACAGAATGTTCTCAAGAAGATGTTCGAGCTGTCGTTAATGGCAAGGACAGGTGCTCCTTCAATGATTGTGGATTACACACGACGCTAGTCACAAAGACGCCAGCGTGGACCAATTATTAACTATCCAGCCAATCACACAAATGCAATGCTTAAAACACCTTCAGAATAGTTCTATTCAGGCAAACGGTCTTTAAAGTCTTTGACATTTTAACTTTTCGAGCGATTGTTTTCTAAGGAATTATTTAAGCATTAATCAGGCATTAATTACTGCATAATATCCAGGTTTACAGCCATTCCTCCTAAACTATACATCAAAACTGGTGAAGAGAAGGGTCCCTTACCTTTAAAGAGGAAATTAATGCACAGCCATTTGAGGTGTTCTTTAGCAAGGACCATCATCCGAAAATTTTATATTTTAAAGTTTTTGGTTGTTGTTATAAAGCTATTGTTTAAATAAAACTAAACAAAACGAAACAAAAACGAACATGTAATTGAATTCAGTCCCCTGCCTTCCTGAAAGTGTAGTCTGACAGCTTGAGCCACTGGGTTTTGGTAAATTGTGATGAATGCAAAATAGCCTCATATTCATTATATTTTGATTGTGAATTAAAAATGATAACACTTGGTGAGTGATAATTTGCCCCTAAATTGCTCGTGACCGCTGTAAATTGAAGATAATAACAGAACCATCACTGTTAAACAGGTTGATAAAAAGTTCACTTTAGCCTTTTGTCAAATCGGAGAACCGATCAGCCGGCTTTAAGCATTATGCATCCGAAATATGAGTTCGAGTTCTGCTTTTCCAAACTTTGAAAAATTTGCAAGCGCTTATTTTCATAAAATTGCACGAGAAGTGTTGCTAATCACTTGCTAGTTATTCACTTCGAAAAAAGCAGTACAGAAAATCAAGCAGAAGAAATTTTGACAGTGCACGCACTGTTTATAGTTTGCACTCGTTTTACAACTTGTTTTCAGCCAACCAGAAGCGAACATATTGTTCATGTATGTTATTATTCACGTGGCAAAAAAACTTGATCTTATAGTGTACTAGCGGGTCTTTGTTCGTTTAAGACGTCATAAAAGAAAACGGATGCTGAAAAATGTCTTTACATCGTCCAAGACACGAAAACACTGTTTTGTTAACCCATCGTTTTATTATATTTTTTCAATTCCGAAGCAAAGCGATCAATGTAGTAAGGTTTGGAAAGATTTCATTGTAAAGGGAAAACCTTATGAAACAGAAGAATACAAGTCCAAAGTGCTGATGTTTTGGAGTGTATCTTTATTAGGAATAAAGTTTCTGTATTCTAATTAACTTTTGCCTCACTCGTAGCAGACCCTGTGCTTGTACGTTCCAAATAAATATTCCTGAATAAGGTTTAATATGAAAATTTCAATGTTGTGTTTCCATGCTTAAAAACCGATTGACCAAACTATGACCTAAACATTCTAAAGTGATATTTACGCAGAAAAGATAAAATTAAATATCGTTTTACTTTAAAAATTTGTAAAGCTAACAAACAATGAAGTACTGATACATTTTCGGAGATCAGTTTCTACAATTTACTACGATATAACTTACCGAAGATTTAGAACTGCAAGACCCAAATATGAAGTGTGGCAAGGAGGCAAACAAGAAAATGTGATAAAGTTTTCTCGATTATGTAAATTTTTTAGAGACGTTTAATCGGATTAATTTCACTCTGCAAATCATAGTTCGTTTCCAACTCTGTAGACACAACACAAATGTTTTTCTGTATTCTAGAAATGTGCTTCTCTGCAACACTTGTGTCAGGTTTGTTTGACTCCCGCCAGTCTGAGCTATTCTAAAATCATTTTTCGCAAAATATTACTAACTGGAAGTAGGCTCTCGTCCCATGAAAACATTTAAAGTTCTAGTATTTACAATTTAGTAACTTTGATGCAAGAATTTTGCTTACAGGGAAGAGAACTCTAGTCGCCATAGCTTACAGCTGTAAAACATTTCATTAGCTGAACTAAGTACAGCAGAAAGGTCAAAATGTAAGAAATCGAAATGGTGCGATACATTATCTTGCGAGGTTTCCAAGACTAAGAACAATTGAAGAACCTCGTTTGATAACGCCAAATGCTACCCACAATATACTATATTAACATAACTAGTCTGACTTGAGCATGTTCATCAATGAACTCTTCTACCTTCCAGCTCTTTTGTTACATAGTCTCCGAACAGTTACCTATTCAATTCTGACCATTTTAACGTAATGACAAACAAAAACTTTTATACCCTTGTTTCAATCAATGCTGACGTAGGTAGCATGACTGTATTGAAGGGATTTTTTTGTGTCGAAATCAGTTATAATATGGCTCTGCGTGTGCTGATTGTAATGGGTTACACTTAAAAAATGCAGTATAAGTTTAATAATAATAATTTTGAAAAACCAAATCTCAGATACGTTACGTTGTCAATCTACCTAAGCCTACTGGCCTTCAATTTGGGAAAACCATTGCACTATTTTAAAACCTGTTTTGGAAGCTTACTCGAAAATGACTTAAATCTGTAACCTTGAACAAAATCTATTTGGAGTTTTTACAACCATGAACTTTCCAAAGTAAATATATTGAGTTTTCATACCTTCAACAGAAAATTCAACAAAAATAGAAGCATTCTAAGATAATATGATTGCAAAAGACTTTCATTTTTAAAAATGCCGCGGTAATACAATTTAATAAGTGGATGACATGTATAACATTTTCTGCCACGCGCATAAAATTGTTTCATAATACTTTTCTACTGCTCCTATAAACAGAGTGAGTGTGCCTATCTATGCTAGCACAAAGTAAGTGCTATGCAAAAGAACTACAACATATCAAAAGCTGTTGACCCTTACTGTATAGTCTCAAGGTGGCTATCTGTAAAAAACCTGAAAAACGCTTAACCTTTTGCCCTTACATTCCCTTCAGTTGTCTTCATATAAATAGTGAGGACAAATGATATCTCCTTTAAGGTCATCAAAATTAATGTGATCCCAACCGCCAGATCCCTCATCAACTAGTCTGACTTGGGCGTATTGACCAATGAATTCTTTTACATCCCAGCTCTTACGGTACATTGTCTCGTAACAGTTCCCTGTCTCATTTCTGACAGCCTGCATGTAACAGCAAACATATCAAATAGTTTTAAACCTTTGTTTCGATGAATTCTGACATATCTATCATGACTGTATCGAACATTTATTCAAATAAAGAGCAACCTCTTTCTATTGAAATAAAGACATTACCGCACTGAAGGTGGGTTTCAATGTTGTGTAAGACAAAGACAAATAAAACGTGCCAGACGCGATGTTGGTTTGCCCGTGGAACTTCTCTCGAGTCACCCAAAAATGAGCTAGGTATAAGGCAAAATATATTTGAAAAGAAAAAACCAAACATTGTCGATATCATCATTTTCAAGGTCACCAACATTTACCCTGATGATGACATAGTGTCGAAAACGTTTGACTTTTCATTTTTTTACATATATCTTTTATTTGTGAATAGCTCATTGTAAACCTAAAGAAATCTCATGGATATCACGAAGCTCAAAATGGTTTCGCAATTTTGAAAGACCAAAGCTCTGATACTTTGATAAATCTACCTAGGCTGTCTCAAAAGAATCAAATGAAACATGACGGTCAAAGTAAATAATCTCACCTGGTTGTCGACGATAAGCTCCGCACGAATATCATTTCTGGGACATCCTCCACCGATGAGAAACGAGATATCTCTGCCAACGATACGGAAACAAGGAGAAATGAGAGTACCCTTGGGTGAGTCGCCGTACTGTATTCCCGCAGGATCGCTCTCGCTGGGTCGTTTCTCAAGTCCCCCTACCCACCAGTCCCCTTGCTGCTGGGCGCTTTCTCTGTTGCGTGCCACTGGATTGTCACCAAATGTTGGTTGGTAAATGAAAGCTGTGCCTGTCATTTCCCATCCGCCGATTCCATCTTCAAAGTCGAAGCTGCAGGCTACATTAAAAACAAAAAAAGGAAGAGAAAAAAAAACTGAAATTGTCATCCCCCAGAATATCCTATGGTTACATCGGTCCTCTTTACAGTTTTGTATTGAATTACCTTTATCGCAGTATGCGCCAGTGAGCCCTGAAGGACATTTACAACGAAATCCTTTATCAGTGTATCCAGCTTGACAAGTGCCATTGTTGAAACAGGGATTACTGCTGCATGGATTCTGATCAAGAAAAAATTACTTATTATTATTTATATCCATGGTTGGTTCTTACTTATTCTCAAAGGAACACTGTCTTGCTGAAGCGATGATTTCTTCAGGCTTTTTGATCAATTGAAGACGAGAATCAGTTACACTTTGTCAGTAATTAAACCAGAAAATCGATTAATCGAGTTACTGGATAATTTGTTGGTCGACTAGTGGTTGATTTTTTTAGGATAGCTCCTACTCTTTCTAGCCACGGGTTCATTGATTTTTCTCTTTTTAACATTGTACCGATAACACCACTGGTGTACCTTAGCTTTGGTATTTTACCTTGTTGAGGTGATTCCTAATTTCCTTGAGTGTTCATTGCCAATCTCTGTTTCGAGAACTACCGTACAAAAGATAGGCCACGAAAGAGATATGATGGGCCAATGTTGCCCCATTCATTCCCGTATTGGTACTATCATACAAAAGATAGGTCTCCAAAAGGATATGATGGGCCAACGGTATCCCATTCATTCCTGTATTGGCACCACCATACAAGAGATTGGTCACGAAGGAGATATGATGGGCCAATGTCACCCTATTCATTTCTGTATTGGCACTAATCACGTGCTTTCTTTCATCGGTTCTCGGTACATTTTACGGTAGTTTTTAAACGAACGTTTAAAAAGAAACACTTGAGTGATAGGTAGAGAGTCGATATATAAGACGTATGGAACAACGTAATATCTAATCTATGGAAAGATCACTCAATCTCACACGAAATAGGGTCAAAAAGTTTCTCGTGATGCGCGGTGCAATACTGAGGAATCACCCTAATTCAGTACAAGGACTGGAAGGCTAGTTTAAAAGTAATCCGACAAAATTATCACGCACAATAATTGTTTGCCGTCTGAAATAAGTCACTTTACCTCGATGCTGAAATGGGAATAATCTGTTTACTCTGAAGGACAGATGAGCCTGGACTTTCGTCCGAAGCATTGTTTAACTCACAAATGTATTTCCCTCCTTGCGAAGGCCCCAAATTTATGGAAACACAATTGGGCTCCGTATAGCAAAAAGCACTTTACAGTCCACTTGGTGGGGTACCTCTACAAGCCTGATTAAGTACCCCTCCAAGACTTTGTCTTGTATTGGTTCTTTGAAATCAATGGATCGACATTCGTCACCTGTTTAGTATTTATATAACAAAAGAGAATGGAATGTTGAAATAAGGTTTTGGTTTAGAGAAAGAGGTTTCAATTGCAGGGTAATATCCCCAAAAAGTCAATTTGCCTCGAGAGACGCTAGATCATGGTTTCCTTCTGCCTTTTTTTTTTTTGTTCTCCACAAGTACCTTCTGGTTTGGGCATCAACACAGTATTAGTGTTGCCCTTTAAGGCAGATAGAAATCTTCTGGTTGCTAGGAAAGGTTCTTTCTGTTTTTATTTTGATTGTTCTTCCAACTTGACGATTATCCTACTTGGACAGTTACTAGATGTAATATCTTTCAGTGAGCATACAATCTCTTAGCATATTCCCATTCCATCCTAAAAAAACTTAATTTACCTGAACACACACCACCATCTCCAGCTGATCCTTCCTTGCAACTACAACCATAAGAACCATTTGTGTTTACACAGGTCGCATTCACACCACAAATGATGCTGGAATTTGTGCACTCGTCAATATCTAAAGAAAAAGGTTTATTAAGTTAATACGTGAGCTAAGGGAAACAATTTAAAAGATGGATAAAGGATAAATTACTATTGGTAATGACTTAGACTACAAGTTAATTTAATTCTGACGAGAAATATGGACGGCTCTATGAATGTTAGTTGTTATCATATCGCTGCCAGAACCTGTGGCCATTTTTAAGCGAATCCTGTCTTCTGATTGGCTACCTGAGCGGGTAAAATGGGCCATCACGCCCGCTCGGGATTGCACGGTTTAATCCCCCGCAAGAGAGAAAATTGCTTGGGGCGAACTTACAAGAGAGTTCGTAAGTTATGGAAAGTGTCAGCAACGGAGTCGCAAAAAGCGGTAGAAGGCAGTCAAAGTAAAGAAAACTCTCGTGGGTTTATTGGGCTGCAAAAACAGTTGGCTCTCTATCCCGTCTCTTCAAATTAACAAGTATTTTTTGATTCTCATTGAAGCAAAATCTTTTTGCCATGTGATAAATGCTTTATTGGCCAAGCTTGTTCGGTCAAGATGGCCGGGTATTAGCCGAGGTCTTTTTTTTGGCGTTTTTATGGACCGAGTCGAAACAAGTATGAGAGCTGCTGGTGTTGATGCAGTTGGTATTCGCGCCACAAAGGTGGCTGCTTTTCCTGCTTTTAGCGATATCTGAGAGAAGATTTAAAAACACAGTTAAGTCTGAGCATCAGACCCCGTTCATTAATGATATCCACTCCCTCGGACATTACAAGTCTAAAGTCTTAAGAAGAGTGTCTTGTCCATTTAGGCGAGTAAAGGTCTTTGGGTGAGAGTAGTATTGGTAAGAGCCTAGCAGCCAATGCTCAACAGATACCTTACCAACCACATACATTGAAAAGAAAACGGAAATATAAATTTTTGGTCAGAGGTAGTGCAGCTTAACCGCCAAGATGAAAGGTCAAAATATAGGAAACTAAGGAATGACCACTTTGCGTTCCTGCATAACATAGACAGTAAAGAGAGAACAAGTTGACATTCTCCAAAGAACAGAGGATGCAACGAAGACAAATGAAATGAAATATAGAAGAATGTGGTAACTCTGAGCAGGAAGGATACCCAACTTAATCTTTGGAAGAAAAGCTTTCAGGAAATCCAAAATGGGGAAGCAACCAAAAGTCGGGTCCGACTGATAAAATGCGAATTCCTAATCCTAAGCTGAGGTAAAGAACGAATCAGCTGGAAGAATGCGGCAGACGTACTTCGCTGACGATGGTGCAAAGAAGATACATTCTATGTGATGCAAAGTAAGTTCATCATACCTATGCATACATGTCCAGTTCCGTTGTATCCCTCCTTGCATGTGCATTCATACGAGCCATTAGTGTTTACACAGGTCGCATTCACACCACAAATGATGCTGGAATTTGCGCACTCGTCAATATCTAAAGAAAAAAGATAACGTAAGCTAAGGAAAGTAATTTAAAAGGTTGATAAAGGATAATTTACTTCTGGCAATACTTAGACTACATTTTAATTTAATTCTGACGAGAAATATGGACGACTCTATCAGTATTAGTTGTTATTATATCGCTGCCAGTGCCCTTGCGCATTTTGAAGCGAATCCTGTCTTCTGATTGGCTACCTGAGCGGATAAAATGGGTCCATCATGCCCGCTTGGGATTGCACGGTTTAAGTCTGCGCAAGAAAGAAAATTGCTCGGAGCGAACTTACAGAAGAGTTCGTAAGTTATGGACAGTGTCAGCGACGGAGTCGCAAAAAAGCAGTAGAAGACGGTCAAAATAAAAAAAAGTCGTGGGTTTATTGGGCTTCAAAAACAGTTGGCTCTCTTTCCCATCTCTTGAAATAAACAAGTATTTCTTGATTTTTAACAAAACGAAATATTTTTTCTATGTGATAGATCCTTTATTGACCACGCTTGTTCGGTTAAGATGGATAGACATTGGTTAAGTTTTGTTTTCAGCGTTTTTTAAGGCCGAGACAAAACAATTGCAACAGCAACTGGTGTTGGTATTCGCGTCACAAAGGTGGCTGCCTTTCCTGCTTCAGCATTAGACCCCGTTCGTTGATGATATCCACTCTTGTGGATAATAGAACTCCCTCGGACATCACAAGACTCAAGTCCCAAGAGAAGTGTCTTATCCAATTAGGTGAGCAAAGGTTTGTGTGAGAGTAGTATTGGAAAGAGCCCCGCAGCCGATGCTCGACAGATATTCTTACCAACCACAAATAAATTTTTGATCGGCGGGCTTAACGGCTAAGATGAAAGGTCACAACAGACCATAAATAGACGGTGGGAAGTTAAAAGAGAGACAAGGTTGACATTGTCCGAAGAGCAGAGAAAGCGACGAGGACAAATGAAATGAAATAATGACGAATTTGGTATCTCTGACCACGATAGATACTCAGCTCAATCTTTGGAAGAAAAGCTTTCAGGAAATACAAAATGGGGAAGCAACCAAGAAAAGTTTCGGATTCGACTGACAAAATGCCAGTTCCTAACCGTAAGCAGAGGTTAAAACGAAGTAAGTTCATCATACCTGTACATACATGTCCAGTTCCATTGTATCCCTCCTTACATGTGCATTTATACGAGCCATAAGTGTTTGAACAGTTTGCATTCACGTCACAGCGCAAGATATCACTCTTACATTCATCGATGTCTAGGAGATAAATGGTAAATAATGAAAGAATAGATGAAATAGAAATTAACAGAAAAAAACTAAAAACTAAAAAAAAAAAATCTTTGACAGGTATAGGTTGAGATAAAATGAAATAGGCTAACCTCCAGTCCCCAAGTTCATATCGCAAAACATCAACTCTGTCTTTCCATTACCAGTTGGATTCAGCCAGTACTTGTTGCTAGTGGAATCTTTTCCCTCACTTGCCTTTATTTCTTGGCAAGACATTGCTGGTAATTCCAGAATGGAACCCAGTGGTGCTGCAATACATAATAGATTGCAAAATTAATTCGTGGGATAGCTACTTAGATAATTTGCAAAAATTTTTTCTCGGAAAAGGTCCGGATGGGACTAAATTGTTTACATTATGAGAGAGATGGTAAGTTTTGAGCTCGGTAGAAATAGAGAAAGATGTTTTTCATATTGTCACGAGCGTGGGACAAATAAAAATTTCTGAGTTCCCATGAGGAATCGAAACTCAGACCTTCGGTTTCCGCGCTCCGATGTACTACTGAGCCTCAGAGACTCTAAGGTGAGCGAGGCGTACATAACGCACGTCCAGCATACTGCTAGAATGTCGACAGCGTCCTGTTTTTCTAAATAGAATAAGAGAGATAGTAGGTAATTTTCTCTTTGTCCCACGCTCGTGACAAGACGAAAAACATCTTCCTCTATGTGCATAAATGTATCTAACTCACTGAAATGCGGTGGAATATTTCATTCGAATTTTTCTTACCTTCCTCTGAAAGCGAAGGGTAAAACGGTTATTAAAGCATGTTAAAAATACTATTAAATATGAAAACATCAAAGGTAAATATCATTTATGAATAAATTGACGCTTTCACAAATTCAACCTTTTTTTTCCCACTTTCATTTCTCTTAGATAAGCATCAGAACTAACATTTTTTTCAAATGTGTTAAAACGCAGAAGCAGTAAGATAAGTTTATCGGAAAAACCTAACTCAACATTTTTCTTGAAAATGAAATTTGTTAAAAAAAAGCTGTAAATGTCCTAAAGAAGCACCTGTCAGGGTTGCTAACGGCGACACCGTGAAAACACAGAAACTTTAAAGCAAAACACGATTTAAAAATAAAAACAACATCTTGAAGTTAGAATTCGAACCCATACGTGATAGTCTTCCAAAAACTTTCCTCGTGAGGGCCGCACGCGATCATGAGAACAGAGCTGGAAAAACTTGCATGAGCTGGCTTACGGTCCGGTGTGATGCAATATGGTTAAAATTTTCAGCCAGAAGAAGATCGACAGTCTTAGGATAAAACGCTCCTTGTCTGAATTGGGTCGTGCCGGACCCGAAAACACTTTGCTCTTTGTCATAACGTGCGAACGAGTAGGGCCTTCTCACTGCATCAGCAACTACATACTGCGCTATAAAATATACTTTATGAGTAAATCTTTCTTAGTCAACATTCTTGAACTTAAAACATACCCCTTCCGTTTAAACGCCGGATATGAAACCAACCAGGGGCCGAGCGAAAACTTTCAGGCCTCGCCTCTTTGGTGCGGTTGTTCAATTCGCAGATCTTTTCCTTTCTGTTGTAGTTATAGCTTTGGCAGGTAATTTCTTGTCCACACCGAATATCACAGATGTGAGGAGCTAATGCTGAAACCCTTTTAAACACGAACTTTTCAAGTTTCATGCCTTGAATGTTGATCTCCATCTTGCACTGTTCATTAGCACATACGCAGCCCACGAAAAAAGCCAAGATAAAGAAAAAAAAATATTGCCACAGCATTTTTCCTGTAAGAATAAAGAATTAATCCATGCTTAGCGTGCGTATATGGCGTTGTGGATGCATATGGAGAGTTTGGAGAGCACGAAGCGCAGCCGAGAGCAACTCTAGCCTCTTGGGAAACTAATTTTTTTTTTAAGTCTTTCTTTTTTGTTTGTTGGTGACATTTTAACTGCTCGAGGGATTTTTATTCAAAAATCTTGAGTCTTGAGATTTTTAAAGCATTAGTTGTAAAATAATATCCGCTTTTCTAGCCATTCCTCCCTAATTTTAAATCAAAACTGATGAAAAGAAAGCTTCCTCACCTTTAAAGAGGAAATTAAAGCACAGCCATTTGAGGTGTTCTTTGGCGTGGATCATCATCCGGAAAGTTTGCATTTTGAAGTTGTTCAGTGGTTGTTGTCATTGTTTAAACTAAAAAAGACGAAGCAAAAACGAAGGTCTAGTTTAACAGCTTGAGCCACTGTTTTCTGGTAAACTGTTATGAATGCAAAATTACCTCATGTTTAAATATAAATATAAACCACCCTCCAAACAGGTGGAATTCAAAATATAAATATATAATTAATAATTGGAGCTCAAGAGGGAACAGTGAACAGAAGTCAATCTTTGCTTTACTTATACCTCAGTTTTTTCACCAAATAAAGCTTTTGCCTCTGTGAGTACCTCTGTAATTTTTCCGTTAGATTTACACCGAAGCAAGTTGTGAGAACTCGAGGCAAGTTATCCGTCAGAGAGGAAAGCAAATAATTTACATCTCTTTTTAAATCGATCCGAATGTAAATGAACTACTATTGGAAATTTGATCATTGCGTCAGATTTCGCCAACCGCAGCACAAATAGGTATTTTGCAAGATATTCCAATCGGGAATAATCTTGATAGAACTCTCCTGTGGCCAGACATAGCCGGTCCATCACTTGCAAATTTAAAAAATGTTCTATTTAGTGGAGGTATTAAAGCTATGGAAATGAATTGAACGAAAATCAGCCAAAGCAAATTCAAAACCTTGTCAACTTAGCTTCGGAGCATCCAGAGGATAACGGAATAATCATATCGCTATGAAAGAGAAAGATTAAAAGTAAAACGAAAGCTTCCAAGATTATCAGTCATGCATTAAAATAACAGTTTATATCACTTTCACAATAGCCATCTCTCTCCAGCTAAAGGCAAAGAATTTTGTGGATTTAAATGCGTTTTCGCATAGCAAAACTTGAACTGACTTCAGTTGGTTTATTTAACAGAATGTTCTTAAGAAGATGTTCGTGCTGTCGTTAATGGCTAAGACAGGTGCTCCTTTAATGATTGTGGATTACGCACGACGCTAGTCACAAAAACGCCAGCGTGGACTAATTATTATCTATTAACTATCCGGCCAATCACACAAATGCAATGTGTAAAACACCTTCAGAATAGTTCTATTCGAACAGACCGTCATTCGAAGTCTTTAAAATTTGTTTATCGGTGACATTTTAACTGTTCGAGCTATTGTTTTCTAGAAAATTATTTAAGCATTAACCAAGCATTAATTATTACATAATATGCTGGTTTCCAGCCATTTCTCCTCAACTTTACATCAAAACTGGTGAAAATAAAGGTCCCTTACCTTTAAAGAGGAAATTAAAGCACAGCTATTTGAGTTGTTCTTTAGCAAGGACCACCATCCGAAAAGTTTCTATTTTAAAGTTGTTGGTTGTTGTTATGAAGCTATTGTTTAAATAAAACAGAACAAAACTAAACAAAAACGAATATATAATTGATTTCAGTCCCCTGCCTTCCTGAAAGTGTAGTCTGACAGCTTGAGCCACTGGTTTTTCGTAAATTGTGATGAGTGCAAAATAGCCTCATATTCATAATATTTTGATTGTGAATTAAAAATGATAACACTTGGTGAGTAATAATTTGCCCCCTAAATTGTTCGTGACCGCTGGAAATTGAAGATAATACCAGAACCATCACTGTTAAACAGGTCGATAAAAAGTTCACTTTAGCCCTTCATCAAATCGGAAAACCCATAAGCCGGCTTTAAGCATTATGCATCCGAAATGTGAGTTCGAGTTCTGCTTTTCCAAACTTTGAAAAATTTGCAAGTGCTTATTTTCACAAAATTGCTCGAGAACTGTTGCTTATTACTTGCTAGTAATTCACTTCAAAAAAAGCATTACAGAAAATCAAGCAGACGAAATTTTGACACTGCGCGCACTGTTTATAGTTTGCACTCGTTTTACAACGTTTCCCTCGTTTTACATAAAAAAGGAAGTTGTTTTCAGCCAATCAGAAGCGAGCAATTTTTTCGTGTATATTATTACTCACGTGGCAAAACAACTTGATCTTATAGTGTACTAGCAGGTCTTTTCTCTTTTAAGACGTTATAAAAAAAACGGACGTTGAAAAATGTCTTTACATCGTCCAAGACACGAAAACACTGTTTGGTTAACCCATCGTTTTACTATATTTTTTCAATTCCGAAGCAAAGCGATCAATGGAGTAAGGTTTGGAAAGATTTCATTGTAAAGGGAAAACCTTATGAAACAGAAGAATACAAGTCCAAAGTGCCTATGTTTTGGAGTGCATCTTTATTAGGAATAAAGTTTCTGTATTCTAATTAACCTTTTCCTCACTCATAGCATACCCTGTGCTTGCACGTTCCAAATAAATATTCCTGAATAAGGTTTAAAATGAAAATTTCAATGTTGTGTTTCCATGCTTAAAAACCGATTGACCAAACTATGATCTAAACATTCTAAAGTGATATTTACGCAGAAAAGATAAAAATAAATATCGTTTTACTTTAAAAATTTGTAAAGCTAACAAACAATGTAGTACTGATACATTTTCGGAGATCAGTTTCTACAATTTACTACGATATAACTTACCGAAGATTAAGAACTGCAAGACCCAAATATGAAGTGTGGCAAGGAGGCAAACAAGAAAATGTGATAAAGTTTTCTCGATTATGTAAATTTTTTAGAGACGTTTTAATCGGATTAATTTCACTCTGCAAATCATAGTTCGTTTCCAACTCTGTAGACACACACAAATGTTTTTCTGTATTCTAGAAATGTGCTTCTCTGCAACACTTGTGTCAGGTTTGTTTGACTCCCGCCAGTCTGAGCCATTCTAAAATCATTTTTCGCAAAATATTACTAACTGGAAGTAGGCTCTCGTCCCATGAAAACATTTAAAGTTCTAGTATTTACAATTTAGTAACTTTGATCCAAGAATTTTGGATCATTGCTTACAGGGAAGAGAACTCTAGTCGCCATAGCTTACAGCTGCACAAAATTTCATTGGCTGAACTAAGTACAGCAGAAAGGAGGGTTAAAGTAACAAAATGTAAGAAATCAAAATGGTCCGATACAAGATCTCGCGAGGTTTCCAAGGCTAAGAACAATTGAAGAACCTCGTTTGATAACGCCAAATGCTACCCACAACATACTATATTAACATAACTAGTCTGACTTGAGCATGTTGATCAATGAACTCTTCTACCTTCCACCTCTTTTGGTACATAGTCTCCGAACAGTTACCTATTCAATTCTGACCATTTTAACGTAATGACAAACAAAAACTTTTATACCCTTGTTTCAATCAATGCTGACGTAGGTAGCATGACTGTATTGAAAGGATTTTTTTGTGTCCTAATCAGTTCTAATATGGCTCTGCGTGTGCTGATTGCAATGGGTTACACTTAAAAAATGCAGTAAAAGTTTAATAATAATAATTTTGAAAAACCAAATCTCAGATACGTTACGTTGTCAATCTACCTAAGCCTACTGGCCTTCAATTTGGGAAAACCATTGCACTATTTTGAAACCTGTTTTGGAAGCTTACTCGAAAATGACTTAAATCTGTAACCTTGAGCAAAATCTATTGAAGTTTTTACAACCATGAACTTTCCCAAGTAAATATATTGAGTTTTCATACCTTCAACAGAAAATTCAACAAAAATAGAAGCATTCTAAGATGATATGATTGCAAAAGACTTTCATTTTTAAAAATGCCGCGGTAATACAATTTAATAAGTGGATGACATGTATAACATTTTCTGCCACGCGCATAAAATTGTTTCATAATACTTTTCTACTGCTCCTATAAACAGAGTGAGTGTGCCTATCTATGCTAGCACAAAGTAAGTGCTATGCAAAAGAACTACAACATATCAAAAGCTGTTGACCCTTACTGTATGGTCTCAAGGTGGCTATCTGTAAAAAACCTGAAAAACGCTTAACCTTTTGCCCTTACATTCCCTTCAGTTGTCTTCATATAAATAGTGAGGACAAATGATATCTCCTTTAAGGTCATCAAAATTAATGTGATCCCAACCGCCAGATCCCTCATCAACTAGTCTGACTTGGGCGTATTGACCAATGAATTCTTTTACATCCCAGCTCTTACGGTACATTGTCTCGTAACAGTTCCCTGTCTCATTTCTGACAGCCTGCATGTAACAACAAACATATCAAATAGTTTTAAACCTTTGTTTCCATGAATTCTGACATATCTATCATGACTGTATCGAACATTTATTCAAATAAAGAGCAACCTCTTTCTATTGAAATAAAGACATTACCGCACTGAAGGTGGGTTTCAATGTTGTGTAAGACAAAGACAAATAAAACGTGCCAGACGCGATGTTGGTTTGCCCGTGGAACTTCTCTCGAGTTACCTAAAAATGAGCTAGGTATAAGGCAAAATATATTTGAAAAGAAAAAACCAAACATTGTCGATATCATCATTTTCAAGGTCACCAGCATTTACCCTGATGATGACATAGTGTCGAAAACGTTTGACTTTTCATTTTTTTACATATATCTTTTATTTGTGAATAGCTCATTGTAAACCTATAGAAATCTCATGGATATCACGAAGCTCAAAATGGTTTCGCAATTTTGAAAGACCAAAGCTCTGATACTTTGATAAATCTACCTAGGCTGTCTCAAAAGAATCAAATGAAACATGACGGTCAAAGTAAATAATCTCACCTGGTTGTCGACGATAAGCTCCGCACGAATATCATTTCTGGGACATCCTCCACCGATGAGAAACGAGATATCTCTGCCAACGATACGGAAACAAGGAGAAATGAGAGTACCCTTGGGTGAGTCGCCGTACTGTATTCCCGCAGGATCGCTCTCGCTGGGTCGTTTCTCAGCTCCCCCTACCCACCAGTCCCCTTGCTGCTGGGCGCTTTCTCTGTTGCGTGCCGCTGGATTGTCACCAAATGTTGGTTGGTAAATGAAAGCTGTGCCTGTCATTTCCCATCCGCCGATTCCATCTTCAAAGTCGAAGCTGCAGGCTACATTAAAAACAAAAAAAGGAAGAGAAAAAAAAACTGAAATTGTCATCCCCCAGAATATCCTATGGTTACATCGGTCCTCTTTACAGTTTTGTATTCAATTACCTTTATCGCAGTATGCGCCAGTGAGCCCTGAAGGACATTTACAACGAAATCCTTTATCAGTGTATCCAGCTTGACAAGTGCCATTGTTGAAACAGGGATTACTGCTGCATGGATTCTGATCAAGAAAAAATTACTTATTATTATTTATATCCATGGTTGGTTCTTACTTATTCTCAAAGGAACACTGTCTTGCTGAAGCGATGATTTCTTCAGGCTTTTTGATCAATTGAAGACGAGAATCAGTTACACTTTGTCAGTAATTAAACCAGAAAATCGATTAATCGAGTTACTGGATAATTTGTTGGTCGACTTGTGGTTGATTTTTTTAGGATGGCTCCTACTCTTTCTAGCCACGGGTTCATTGATTTTTCTCTTTTTAACATTGTACCGATAACACCACTGGTGTACCTTAGCTTTGGTATTTTACCTTGTTGAGGTGATTCCTAATTTCCTTGAGTGTTCATTGCCAATCTCTGTTTCGAGAACTACCGTACAAAAGATAGGCCACGAAAGAGATATGATGGGCCAATGTTACCCCATTCATTCCCGTATTGGTACTATCATACAAAAGATAGGTCTCCAAAAGGATATGATGGGCCAACGGTACCCCATTCATTCCTGTATTGGCACCACCATACAAAAGATTGGTCACGAAGGGGATATGATGGGCCAATGTAACTCTATTCATTTCTGTATTGGCACTGATCACAAGCTTTATTCCATCGGTTCACGATACATTTTGCTGTAGTTTTTAAACGAACGCATAAAACGAAACACTTGAGTGATAGATAGAGAGTCGCTATATAGGACGTATGGAACAACGTATTATCTAATCTATGGAAAGATCACTCAATCTCATACGAAATCGGGTCAAAAAGTTTCTCGTGATGCACGGTGCAATACTAAGGAATCGCCTTAGTTCAATACAAGGATTGGAAGGCTAGTTTAAAAGTAATCCGACAAAATTATCACGCACAATAATTGTCCGCCGTCTGAAATAAGTCACTTTACCTCGATGCTGAAATGGGAATAATCTTGTTTACTCTGAAGGACGGATGAGCCTGGACTTTCGTCCGAAGCATTGTTTAACTCACAAACGTAGTTCCCTCCTAGCGAAGGCCCAAAATTTATGGACACACAATTAGGCTCCGTATAGCACAGCACTTTACAGTTCGCTCGGTGAGAGACCTCGACAAGCCTGATTAAGTACCCCTCCAAGACTTTGTCCTGTATTGGTTCTTTGAAAACAATAGATCGACATTCTTCACCTGTTCAGTATTTAAATAACAAAAGATAATGAAATGATAAAGTTGAAGTACGGTTTTGGTCAAGATAAAGAGGTTTCAATTGCAGGGTAATATTCCCAAAAAGTCAATTTGCCGCTAGATCATGGTTTCCTGCTGGTTTTTTCTTTTTATTTATTTATTTATTTTTTGTACTGTGTGAGATTTTTCCTTGATACGGTATCTTAAGAGATTGAAAGTTCTGCTTCAGTTTGTACTCAAAAAAAAAGATTTTGCACTTTTGAACAGGTTGAAAAAACCCTCATTATAGCCCCTTTATCAAGTCGGAAAAACCCCAGCTGGCCTTAAGTATTATGCATCCACAATATGAGTTCGAGATCCGCTTTTCCAAGCATCCTATAATAAATGTCATTTAATGAAAACCTTTATTAGTATCTCCATCAGTAACGAGTGAATTCAAAACCTGTCCCTTAGGTGTCCCTAAAGGGTTTTATACAGATTCCCCTGTATAAGCCGATAAATATCTATTTAAAGATTGAAAATAAATTTCAAAAATGTTTTTTTTATTATGATTTATGAGATGGCGCGTGCATGTTTAAATTTAAATATGAACCACTTTCCGAACAGGTAGAATTCAAAATACAAATATAAAATTCATAATTGGAACTCAAGAGGGAATAGTGAACAGAAGTCGAACAATCTTTGCTTTACTCATACTTCAGTTTTTTCGCCAAAAAATGATTTCGCCTCAGTGAGTACCTCTGATATTTTACCGTTAGATTTTGAATGTACACCGAAGCAAGTTCTGAAAACACGAGGCGAGTTACCCGTCAGAGAGGAAAGCATGTAATTTACATATCTTTTAAAATCGATCCCAATGTATATGAACTACTATTGGAATTTTGGTTATTGCGTCAGATTTCGTTAACCGCGGCACAAATGGATATTTTGCAAGAAATTCTAATCGACAGAGTTCGATAGAACTCTTTTGTGACCAGACATAGCCAGTCCATCACTTGCAAATTAAAAAAAGTTCTATTAAGAAGGGGTATTCAAACTATGGAAATAAATTGAATGAATATTAGCAAAACAAATTCAAAACTTTGTCGACTTACCTGCGGAACATCCAGAGGATAACGGAATAATGATACTGCTACAAAAGAGAAAGCTTAAAAATAAAACGGAAGCCTCCATACCCAGCCTAAACGTTTCTGCTTTTCACTTGAGTTTTAGAATTAAAGATTACCACTCACGCACTGAAACAACAGTTTACATCATTTTAACAACAACCAATCCTGTCCAGCTAAAGGAAAAAATTGTTGTGGATTTAACTGCGTTTTGGGATATGTTGGCAAAACTTAAGGTGACTGCAGTTGGCTTGTTCAACAGAATGTTTTCAAGGGGATGTACGTGCTGTCTTTAATAGCTAAGACAGGTGCTCCTTAAATGATTGTGGATTACGCACGACACTGATCACAAAGATGCCAGCGGGGACCATTATATATATATATGCAATTGAATTCAATCCCCTGCCTTAATGAAAGTCTAGTCTGACAGCTTGAGCCATTGTTTTTTGGTAAACTGTAATGTGAGAAAAATAGCCTCGTATTCATAATGTTTTGATTGTGAATTGTAAATAACATCGCCTGATGAATGACAATTTGCCTTGAAATTGTTTGTGATCGCTGTGAATTAAAGACAATACCAGAACGCCATTACTTTAAACAGGTTGATAAAAAGTTCACCATAGCCCCTTACCAAATCGGAAAACCCATTAGCCGTCTTTAAGTATCGTGCATCCATAATATGAGTTCGAGCTCCGCTTTTCCAAGTATCCCTTAATAAATTTCATTTAATAATAACCCTTATTAGCATCTCCATCCGTGACGAGTGAATTCAATACCTGCCCTCAAAGTGTCTCGAGCAAAGTTTTGATGGCGCCGAGCTCGAGACTTTTTCTAAAGGATTTTATATAGATTCCTGTATATTGGCCGATAATTCTCCATTTAACGATCATAAACGGTTTGTTAGTGAGATTTATGAGATGGCGCGTATAAACCTAAATTTTCCGAACATATGGAATATCAAATTCATAATTCGAGCTCAAGAACAGTGAACAGAAGTCTAACAATCTTTCTTTTACTCATACTTCTTTGGTTTCCAGCAAAAACTTGGATTAAATTCTTAGAATTATGACCGTGTTCGAGCAATGTGATAAATTCCTCTTAAACGGCACCTTATTACATATAAGCAATACACCGACTGACTTGAGTAATAGTTTTAATTATGTTTTATTTAGTTTGACTCCAAATGCTTTGTTTGATTGAAACGATGTCAGATATGTGGAATCTCCTTGGAAGATCGAGCTCCAACTGTGGTGGAATAACAAGAAACCATAACTCACCTTTCCCAACATAGACGTGCTGATTGACGAAAGGCAACTGGAGCAAGAAATGTTGCGACAAAAGAAAAGTTGAAGTTAAACAGACAGCCAATTTCGTATTACAGGGAGTAGAGGGGATCGTCTTTGACCTCGTTTCCAGTTTAACCAATAACATCATTTCGCGTTCAGTTTTGTGTTAATAAGCACCAGTAAATTTTTCTAGGACAACATAATTGCAGAAGCCCGGAGGGCGGGTGCAATTTATAGGCATTGCTTATTTTCACCGTATTGCACGAAAAGTGTTGCTATTACTTAGTAATTATTCCCTTGAAAAAAGTATCACAGACAGCGCACGCACAGTTTGTAATTTGCACTCGTTTTTTTTTTACATCAAAAAATGGACTCATTTTCAGCCGATCAAAAGCGCATAATTTTTTGGTGTATCTTATCACTCACGTGGTAGAATGACTTTATCTTATGGTGACTAGCGAGTCTTCTTCGTTTAAGACGTCATAAAAAACAGACACTGAAAAAGGTTTTTAAATCTCCCAAGTAACGACGACGCCGTTTGGTTAACACATCGTTTTATTACATTGTTTCAATTCCGAAGCAAAGCGATCAATAAAGTAAGATTTGGAAAGATGAGTCGTTGTAAAGGGATGACCTAATGAAACAAAAGAATACAAGTCCGAAGTGTCGGTATTTTGTCGTGTATTTTTATTAGGAATAAAGTTTCTGTATTCTAATTAACCTCTGCCTCACTTATGGAACGTGCTTTGCACTCCGTGCACGCACGTTCCAAGTAAATATTCCTAAATAAGCTTTATAATGAAAATTTCAATTACATGTTTCCATGGTTAAAACCAATTGTCCAAACTGTGATGTACACATTCTAAAATTATGTTTACACAAAAAGATAAAATTAAACATATTTTTATTATGAAATTTTGTAAAGCTAATATATAACAAAGTGCTAATAGACTTTCAGCGGGTAAGTGATCAGTTTCTACAATTTGCTACGACGTATTTTACCTAACATTAACAACTGCAAGACCCAAATGAGAACACTAACAAAGAGGGAAACAAGATAAAGTGATAAAGTATTTTCCATTATGTAAATTTGTAGAGAAGTTTTAATGGAATTAACTTCACTCCGCGAGTCACAGTTCGTTTCCAACTTTGTAGACAAAACACATTTGAGGGTCTCCAATAGGGTTCTTTAATCCCACAATCCCGACTACAAAATTTTTCTACTCAATCCCGTAATCCCAACAGTTTATGCCAGCCAATCCCGATCCGGATCAAAAAATTTTGTCTTACTCCATTTCTAAACTTGGGAGGGCCATTTCGGTAGCAGATGACTTTCTCAACCAGCATTGATCCGTTGAAGTCTATGGTCACCGTAAGGCGTAGGTTTACCTCTTTTCACCAAAATAATGATATATTTGATTTTAGAAGTTTTCAAAGTTTTGCAGGAATAACGTAAGCTAGTCACGGTATAGACTTCCTTCCGTTAAACTTCGATCACGGACGAACGTGTTAATACGGACAGGTTGGTATCAAAGAAACGAATGACAATGTCAACAAGTGCATAAGACACAAAAGATGACGGCCGCAATCTCATAGTTTCATAAGAAGAGAGGTAAAGAAAACTTCATTGAACACAATTCTGCTGTTGAAGCGAATACATCTTGGGAGGCGGGAACCTCTTCCGAGATGAAAATCAGCTTCTAGTTCCAAAGATGGACTGTCACCATCATCACACGGGGAATCGTACTCTAATAATCCATCTTCCTCTTCGGCTTGTTTCCCACTGTTTTCTTGCTGCTCCTCGAAGTCAGAGCGTTCGAGAGTGACCGGCAGTTTGCCCGGCTAAATTTCTCTCTAATAGAGGTACTACGGGAGAGTTCCAACTCTTTCCGTCGTTGTTTCCTATCTGACAGGGCGCTGACGCACTGCTGCAACAAATGTTTACGCCCAGTCCCTCATTTTCTGTATGCTCTGTGGTGTCACCTTTAGAGGTGGTAACGATTAAATTGCTAGGCATATATATAGGCATATAGGCTGGGCATATAAAGGCATGATTCTGAGACTTGCTGGAGGTTTCTAAAGGCCGTTAAGCATTTCAACTGACGCAGCAGTCATAGATGCCTTGTTACCCTGTGGGACATTGAGGATTTTTGGTTAATTGGCAACTTCGCTTCTGATATACTTTTCATTGCCACGCAATAATTGAAGAGTGTCGCTGAACAGCCCGACCGCCTCCTGAATGCTAGAGAGCCTGTTTGCCTGGTGCTTTTCGTGGACTGAGAAGAACAATTTCTTCATAAATTCACGTCAACGGACATCCCGGCTCTCAGTTCGTTGAAGTGATTATTTCCCAAATCCCGATTCCCGTGTCCCGTTCCTAATAACAATCCCGCATCTCGCTCCCTTTTTACTTTAAATTCCCGGATCCCGGACTTTAAATAAGCCCAATCATGGATCCCGAAAATCCTATTGGGTACCCTCACATTTGTTTCTCTTCATTCCAGAACTGCACCACTTGACTCCCGCCAGTCTGAGCTGTTTTAAAATCACGTAACTTAAGATATTACTAACTGGAAGTAGGCTCTCGTCCCATTGAAACATTTCAAATTCTAGTATTTACAATTTAGCAACTTTGATCCAAGAATTTTGCTTACAAGGAAGAGACCTCTAGTCGCCATAAACTTTACAGCTGCGCAACATTTCATTGTTTGAACTGAGTACAACACTAAGAACAAAGGGAGAACCTCTTTTTCAGTGAGAAATACTACCCATTACATACTACATTAACATGATCTGTGTGGCTTTGATACTGGCTTTCGCACGATAAGGGGAACTGTTACAATATATCGCAACCTTTTTTGACCTCTATAGCCCTAAATAGAATCTAATGGGAGTTTTTTCAAAGCGATGGATATCCAGTGTCCTTAAATACTCAGCCAAGAAATTTCTACACATCAAAAAAAGGTGGGTTTTAATATGATATGACTGCTAAGATACAAAGTAAGAGACTTCTTATTGTCACGGTAAACCAATTACAATCATGTTTTCCAATCCAAACGATCGGAAGACATGATTATGAAATGTTCTGTCTCGCACATAAAATTGTCTCAATGCTGGCACAAAGCAAGTACTATAAAACGTCAAAAGCTGTTCTAACCTTCTTTCAAGGTGACTACGTGTAAAATCCTGACTTGAAGGGGTGAGTTGGTTTCGACAGCCGTTAATCCTTTTTGCCTTCACTTCTACTTCAGTTAGCGAGGACAAATGATATCTCATTTAAGGTCATAAAAGTCATTGTGACCCCAATTAACAGATCTTTTATCAACTAGTCTGACTTGTCATTTCTGACAACCTTAATGTAATGATACAAACACAAAATATTTTTCAAAATCCCTTGTTTCGATCAGTGCTGACGTAAGTAGCATGACTGTATTGAAAGGAATTTTTTGTGTCGCCATCAGTTCTAATATGGCATTGCGTGTGTTGATTGCAATGGATTGCAGTTAAAAAATGCAGTATAAGTTTCACAATTTTGAAAAGCTAAATCTCAGAAACGTTGATCAATCTACCTAAGCTATTTCCATAACATAATTTCTGTAACTTCGATACTAGTGTTTAATTAGAGAAAACTATTGCAGTATTTTGGAAAATGACTTCAATCTGTAATCCTGAACAAAATCTATCAGGAAATTTTACAGCTATGAGTTTTTCAAAGTGAACATTGAGTGTTCATAAAGACCTTCAACAGAAATTTCAATAAAGAAGCATTTTAATATGATATGATTGCAAGCATCTACAGCAAAAGACTTTCATTTTGTCGCGGTAATCCAATATAATAAGTGGATGATATGATTATAGCATTTTCTGCCACGCGCATAAAATTTTTCATAATACTTTTCTACTGTTCCTATAAACAGAGTGAGTGTGCCTATCTATACTGGCACAAAGCAAGTGTTATACAAAAGAACTATACAATATCAAAAGCTGTCAAACCTACTGTATAGTCACAAGGTGACTATCTGTAAAAACCTGAAAAACGCTTATCCTTTGTGCCCTTACTTTCCCTTCAGTTGTTTTCCCCTAAATGGTGAGGACAAATGATATCTCCTTTAAGGTCATCAAAATTAATGTCACCCCAACCACCAGATCTCTTATCAACTGGTCTGACTTGCGCGTATTGTCCGATGAATTCTTTTACATCCCAGCTCTTACGCTACATTGTCTCGTAACAGTTGCCTGTCTCATTTCTGACAACCTGAATGTAACAACAAACATATCAAATAGTTTTAAACCTTTGCTTTAATCAATGCTGATATAACTATCATGACCGTATCATACATTTATTCAAATTAAGAGCAACCTATTTCTATAGAAATCAAGGCAAAACAGAATTGAATGTGCTGATTGCAATGTTCTGCACTTCAGAAAACAAACAAACAAACAAACAAAAATAACAACAAGAAAAAAAACTCGTTTCAATGTTGTGTAAGCCAAAGACAAAGAAAGTGTACCAGAGGCGAGGCTGGTTCCCTTGTGGAACCTTTCTTGACGAAACTCAAAATAAGCTATTCATAAAGCAAAAAGCACATTAAAATGTGAAACACAGGCGTTTTCGAAACTAGATTATTTTCAGGGTTACCATTGTTTATCCTGATGATGACCTAGTGTCAAAAACGACTGGCTTTTTTTAAATACATTTTTTCCTTATAAATGGCTCATTGTAAACCTAAACGAATCTCATGGATATCACGAAGCTCAAAAGGATTTCGCCATTTATCAAAAATCTCTGATACCTTGATAAATCTACCAAGGCTGTTTCAAAAGAATCAAAGGAAACATAATGGTCAAAGTAAATGATCTCACCTGGTTGTCGACAATAAGCTCCGCACGAATATCGTTTATGGTACATCCTCCACCAATGAGAAACGAGATATTCTTGCCAACGATACGGAAACAAGGAGAAATGAGAGTTCCCTGGGGGTGGATCGGCACTTTCTTGGTACAGCCTTCCTGCTGGATCGTTTTCGCTGGGTCGATTCTCAGCCCCCCCTATCCACCAGTCCCCTTGCTGCTGGGCGCTTTCCCTGTTGCGTGCTGCTGGATTGTCACCAAATGTTGGTTGGTGAATGAAAGCTGTGCCTTTCATTTCCCATCACCGATTCCATCTTCAAAGTCAAGACTGCAAGCTGGTGAGAAAGAAAGAAGAAGAAATGTTTAGCCCGCTGAATGCTCTATGACTATCATTCGATATTATAAACTCCACTTCACAGCTCAGTGCTTACCTTTATTGCAGTATGCGCCAGTGATCCCTGAAGGACATTTGCAACGAAATCCTTTATCTGTGTATCCAGCTTGACAAGTGCCATTGTTGTAACAGGGACTGTTACCGCAGGGATTCTGTTAGAGACAATAGGGATTGCGTCTTAAAAATAGTTTTGAGTAGTTCACATATTCGTCTATTGCTTTATCTTAAAGCTACAATAAAAGTGTGTTACATTTAGACCATTTTACTTGCAAGTAATCGATCCTCTAATATGCAACTAACTGATCGTTTAATAGATAGACAGTTGAATCGCCTGAAAGATCAGTGATAGACTATTCCGAAGAAATGACCATATAAGCTTTCTTAACTTCTTGTCTACGCTCTCGTTACGTCACTGCTAAAAGGATCGCTTAAAAGAATATTTTTGGCCATATGAAATCAGTTCGAAGTACCTCAATGGAAACGTAGATATGACCCTCTTTACTTTGTAGGGCAGACGATCTTTTATTTCCTCCCGTAGCATTGTTTAACTCACAAATGAAGTTTCCTCCTTGAGTAGCAGGTCGAACATTTATGGACACACAATTAGGCTCCATATAACAAATTACTTTACAGCTGCCCTCATGAGGTACCTCCATACTTCTGATTACGTTTCCCTGCATGACTTTGTCTTGTACTGGTTGATTCCACGGCATCCATCATCTGTTTCAGCAAATATCAAATCAGTATGAAAAAAACGGGTTCATATCATTGTTGCTAAAAGGATCGCCTAAAAGAATATTTTTGGCCATATGAAATCAGTCTGAAGTACCTCAATGGAAACGTAGATATGACCCTCTTTACTTTGTAGGGCAGACGAGCTTTTATTTCCTCCCGTAGCATTGTTTAACTCGCAAATGAAGTTTCCTCCTTGAGTAGCAGGTCGAACATTTATGGACACATAATTGGGCTCCATATAACAAATTACTTTACAGCTGCCCTCATGAGGCACCTCCATACTTCTGATAACATTTCCCTGCATGACTTTGTCTTGTACTGGTCGATTCCAAACAATGTGGCGGCATCCGTCATCTTTTTAGCAAATACCAAATCGGTATGAAAAAAAAAAGGGGTTCTGGTTTTGAATCGAATATTGAAGCAATTGTTAACCAAGAAAGTTTACAGCTCTTCACCTCCGAGACTGACGACTATTTGGCGACTATTTATTTCAGGACTGACCACAATTTTCAGAAACAATTACTTACGGGTGGGTCCAATTCCTCGAAAGAGACGGCAGTGCACGCAAAAAATATTTATCTACTTGTAGAGTTTAGCTTATGCTATCCTTTCAATTATCAAATTTCGAAGGTTGAAACTTCCTCCTTTAGAAGAATTGGGCACAAAGAGGACAAATTTCAGATGGAATCTAGACATCCCGACATCTAAACTCGCCTTAAACCGAGACCTCCGCAATATTCCTTTAAAAGAAAACATTTCTACCAGAACCTTCTAGTTTGGACAGCAACAGTATAATCGTTGCCTTTAAGGCAGACAGAAATCTTCTGGTTGCTAGGAAAGGTCCTTTCTGTATTTATTGTTCTTCTTACGTAACGATTATCCTACTAGGAGAGTTACTAGGTGTAGTTTAGTGGCTTACAATCTCTTAGCAAATTTTCATCCCATCCTAAGAAACGTTATTTACCTGAACAACCACCACGGTCTCCAATTGATCCTTTCTTGCAAGCACAACCGTAAGAGCCATTTGTGTTTACACAGGACGCATTCACACCACAAATAATGCTGGAATTTGCGCACTCGTCAATGTCTAAAGAAAAAAGATTATCAAGTTATTATGTAAGCTAAGGGAAAGCAATTTGAGAGGTTAATAGAAGACAATTTACTTCTGTAAACGACTAAGACCACATGTTAATTTAATTTTGACGTGAAATATGGACGGCTCCATTAATATTAGTCGTTATTGTATCGCTGCCAGTGCCCGTGGGTATTTTGAAGAAAATCCTGTCTCCTGATTGGCTACCTGAGCGGGTAAAATGGGCCCATCATGCTCGCTCGGGATTGCACGGTTTGGTCCTACGCAAGAAGGAAAATTGCTTGGAGCGAACACATAGATGAGTTTGGATAGTGTTAGCGACAGATACAAAAAGCGGTAAAAGACGGTCAAAATAATGAAAACTCTCATAGGTTTATTAAATTACAAAAAAATTCAGCTCTCTTTCCCTTCTCTTCAAATAAACAAGTATTTCTTGATTTCTAGTAAAGCGGAATCTTTTTGCTATATGATAAATCCTTTATTGGACAAGCTTCTTCGGTCAAGATGGCTGGATATTGGCCTAGATCTTTTTTGGCGTTTTTACGGACCGAGACGAAACAGTTATAGGAGCCACTGGTTTTGATGCAGTTGGCATTCGCGTCACAAAGGTGGCTGCCTTTCCTGCTTTTATCAAAATCTGAGAGACGATTTAAGAATACAGGTACCTCTGAGCATCAGACCTCGTTCGTCTATGATATCCACACTTGGGGAGAGTAGAGCTCCCTCGAACATCACAAGTCTCAAGCCTTAAATAAAGAGTCTTATCCATTTAGGCGAGCAAAGGTGTTTGGGTGATAGTAGTGTTAGAAAGAGCCTAGTAGCCAATGCTCAACAGACATCCTTACCAGCCACAAAAGATTAAAAGAAAATGGAAATGGAAATGTTTGGCCAGAGGTAGTGCAGCTTAACTGACAAGATGAAGGGTCACCACATAGGAAACTAGCGAATGGCCACTTAAAATTAACAATAAACGGACCAAGGGAAGTTAAAAGAGAGACAAGGTTGACGTTGTCCAAAGAGCAGAGGAAGCAACGAGGACAAATGAAATATTTTATAGAGAATGTGGTTACCCTGACCGGGACAGAGAACCACCTCAGTCTTTAGAAGAAAAGCTTTCAGGAAATCCAAAATGGGAGGCAATCAATAAAATTGTCGGATCTGACTGACAAAATGCGACTTCTTAACCCAAAGCAGAGGTAAAGAAAAAATAGATGAAATAGAAATTAACAGAACAAAACAAACAATCTAAAAATAGACTTTGACGGGAATTCGTTGGAATGAAATGAAACAGGCCAACCTCCATTTCCCAAGTTTATATCGCATTCAAACATAAAAAAGTGCATACCTGAGCTATTCTCAATTTTATTTCATCTCTGACTTCAACTGACAGAAACGTTTTGAATCACGGTAAAAACGACAATAACAACAAATAACACTGAATAATACAGTATGTAACCGTCGTGATATTTAGTTTTGATAAACTTCAACATGAAGCAAGTTTAATTTATTGATGAATTGATTCATGATAAAATTAACAGGGTCCCATTCTTAGAGTTTTCATACAGGATTAAAGAAATGTATCAAAGAACAGCCCTTTCGCTGTTTTATGCCCTGCTCAATTACAAGTGTACTGAACCCTAAAATCTTGGATCCGGCGCTTGCCAACAATCGTGTTTCCTTTCGGGAATTCAGCATAAAGCGGTAAATTTTCCCAAAATACACCGAATAAACCAAAGGAAGGGAGCAGGTTATCCTGGAAATGAGTTCTGAAATAATTCCAAACAGCATTATCTCGTTTAAAAGCGCAAAATTTACGCAAATCCCAGACGTTTTGATCGCGACGGGAAAACCAGGGTAATGACGTCCTGAACTTGTTGGGGAGAACGGAAACGCCAACACCGGATGTCTAAATAGAGTCGTGTCCAGACTATCCGCGCGCTTTCCCGTTCTGAAATGACGTTCCCGTCCTCTTGCTAAATCACTCTAATATGCACGCAGCCTACGTCATCGGTACGAGCGCGCGCAATTCACGAGGCATTCTTTTAAAAGAAATAAACAAAAAACTCCTCAAGCATTGTTGAGTTATATAAGCACTCGAGAAGTGCGAGAGGCTCTCGCCTTCGGCTCGTGCTCCTCCGCACTTTTCTCGTGTTGTTAAAAATTCCCGCCTGCTTATATAACTCAAAAATGCACTCGGCGCGCTTTTTATTTCTTTAATAATTCACTTCAAAAAAGCATTTTAAAAAATCAAGCAGACGAAATTTGGATCGTGCGCGCTCTGTTTGTAATTTGCACACGTTTTACAACGTTGCTCCGGTTTACATTAAAAAAAAATTGGACTCCTCTTTAGCCAATCAGAAGCGCGTAACTTTTTCACGTATATTATAACTCACTAGACAGAACGACTTGATCTTATATATAGTGTACTGGCGGGTCTTTCTTCTTTTAAGACGACATAAAAAACGGACGCTAAAAAATATCTTTACATGGTCCAGGTCACGAAGACATCATTTGGTTTACCCATCGTTTTATTATATTTTTTCTAATTCCGAAGCAAAGTTATCAATGGAGTGAGGTTTGGAAAGATTATTATTGTAAAGAGATGAAATTATGAAACATAAGAATACAAGTCCTAAGTTTCGATGCTTTGGAGTGTATTTTTATTAGGAATAAAGTTTCTGTGTTCTAATTGCCTCACTCATAGCACACTCTGTGCATGCACGTTTCAAGTAAATATTCCTCACTAAGATTTAAAATGAAAATTACAATGTTGTATTTCCATGGTTAAAATCGATTGACCAAACTGTGATGTACACATTCTAAAATGATACTTGCGCTAAAAAGATAAAACTAAATATCTTTTCATTTGTGAAAATTTGTAAAGCTAAAATATAATGAAGTACTGATAGCTTTTCAGGGGATAAGTGATCAGTTCTTACAATATGCTATGGTATAACTTACCGAATATTAAGAACTACAAGACCCAAATATGAACGATGCCAAGGAGGCAAACAAGAAAATGTAATAAAGTTCTCTCGATTATGTAAAATTTTGGAGACGTTTTAATCGAATTAACTTCATTCCCCAAATGACAGTTTGTTTCCAACTCTGTAGACCAAACAATTTTTTTTCTCTTTATTTCAGAATTGTGCTTCTCTGTAACACTTGTGTCAGGTTTTTTTGACTCCCGCCAGTATGAGCTATTTTAAAATCACGCTTCGTAAGATATTTCTGACAGGAAGTAGGCTCTCGTCCCATCGAAACATTTAAAATTCTAGTATTTACAATTTAGCAACTTTGATCCAAGAGTTTTGCTTACAAGGAAGAGACTTACAGCTGTACAAGAATTCATTGGTTGAACTGAGTGCAACAGAAAGGAAGGTAAAAGTAACAAAATGCAAAAAATCAAAATGGTCCGATACAAGATCTTGCGAGGTTTCCAAGACTAAGAACAAATGAAGAACCTCGTTTTATTAATGCAAAATGCTACCCGATACATGCTACATTAACATAACTAGTGTGACTTGGACGTGTCGACCAATGAACTCTTCTACGTTCCAGCTCTAGCGGTACATAGTCTCCGAACAGTTACCTGTCTCATTTCTGACAACCTTAACGTAATGACAAGCACAAAAAATTTTATACTCTTGTTTCCATCGACGCTGACGTAGGTATCATAAATGTATTGAAAGGAATTTTGTGTGTCGCAGTCAGTTCTTATATGGTGCGTGTGCTGATTGCAATGGATTACACTTAAAAAATGTAGTATAAGTTTGGCAATTTTGAAAAACCGCTTTTGGAAGCTCACTCGAATAACTTCAATCTGTAATCCTGAACAAAATCTACCGGGAGTTTTTACAGCTATGGACTTTTCAAAGAAAATATATTGAGTATTCATAGCTTCAACAGATATTTCAACAACAAAAAGAAGCATTCTAAGATATGATTGCTAGCATCTACAGCAAAAGACTTTCATTTTTTAAAAATGTCGCGGTAATACAATATAATAAGTGGATGATATGTGTAACATTGTTTGCCACGCGCATAAAATTGTTTCATAATACTTTTCTACTGTTCCTATAAACAGAGTGAGTGTTCCTATCGATGCTAACACAAAGCAAGTGCTCCTCAAAAGAACCATGTACCATCAAAAGCTGTTAAACCTTACTGTATAGTCACAAGATGACTATCTGCAAAAACCTGAAAAACGCTTATCCTTTGTGCCCTTACTTTCCTTTCAGTTGTTTTCGTCTAAGTAGTGAGGACAAATGATATCTCCTCTAAGGTCATCAAAGTTGATGTGACCCCAAAAACAACTCCTTTCATCAACTAGTCTGACTTGGGCGTATTGACCAACGAATTCTTTTACGTCCCAGCTCTTACGATACATTGTCTCGTAACAGTTCCCTGTTTCTTTTCTGACAACCTGCATGCAACAACAAACATAGCAAACAGTTTTAAACCTTTGTTTCGATCAATGTTGACATATGTATCATGACTGTATCATACATCAATTCAAATAAAGAGCAACCTCTTTCTACTGAAATCAAGACATTACCGTATTGAATGTGCTGATTGCAATGTTCAATGTGCGCCAGACGCGAGCTCGGTTCCCTCGTGGAACCTCTCTTGAGGAAACTCAAAATGAGCTATTTTCGAGACACCATCATTTATCCTGAAAACGTTTGGCTTTTCTTTTTTTAACATATATTTTTTTCCTTCTAAATAGCTTATTGTAAACTTAAACGAATCTCACGGATATAACGAAGCTCAAAATGGTTTCGCAGTTTTGAAAGACCAAATCTCTGATACTTTGATAAATCTACCCAGGTTGTTTCAAAATAATCAAATGAAACATGATGGTCAAAGTGAATAATCTCACCTGATTGTTGACAATAAGCTCCGCACGAATATCACTTATGCTGCATCCTCCACCGATGAGAAAAGAGATATTCTTGCCAACGATACGGAAACAAGGAGAAATGAGAGTGCCCTGGGAAGAATCACCACCATCTGGAGGCCGATTTCCTGCCGGATCGATCTTGCTGGTTCGATTCTCAGCCCCCCCTATCCACCAGTCCCCTTGCTGCTGGGCACTTTCTCTGTTGCGTGCTGCTGGATTGTCACCAAATGTTGGTTGGTGAATGAAAGCTGTGCCTGTCATTTCCCATCCACCAATTCCATCTTCAAAGTCAAGGCTGCAAGCTGGTGAGAAAGAAAAAAGAGGAAATGTTTATCCCGCGGAATACTCTATGACTATCATTCGATGTCGTAAATTACATTTTATAGTTCTGTATGTACCTTTATTGCAGTATGCGCCAGTGAACCCTGAAGGACATTTACAACGAAATCCTTTATCGGTGTATCCAGCTTGACAAGTGCCATTGTTGTAACAGGAACTGCTGCTGCAGAGATTCTGTTAGAAACAAAATAAATTCCGTCTTATAAATAGTTTTGAGTAGCTCACATATTCGTCCATTGCTTTATCTTAAAGCTACTATTAAAGTGCGTTATATCTAGACCATTTTACTTGCAAGTAATCGATCCTCTAATATGCAATCTTAACTTCTTGTCTACGCTCTCGTTACGTCACTGCTAAAAGGATCGCTTAAAATAATATTTTTGGCCATATGAAATCAGTTCGAAGTACCTCAATGGCAACGTAGATATGACCCTCTTTACTTTGTAGGGCAGACGATCTTTTATTTCCTCCCGTAGCATTGTTTAACTCACAAATGAAGTTTCCTCCTTGAGTAGCAGGTCGAACATTTATGGACACACAATTAGGCTCCATATAACAAATTACTTTACAGCTGCCCTCATGAGGTACCTCCATACTTCTGATTACGTTTCCCTGCATGAGTTTGTCTTGTACTGGTTGATTCCACACAATGTGGCGGCATCCATCATCTGTTTCAGCAAATATCAAATCAGTATGAAAAAAACGGGTTCATATCATTGTTGACCTTTTAGTTTTGGATCGCATGCGCAGCAAAAGGAGTGAAGCACGTGGGGCAAAACTTTTCCTAGTAATTTTTTAATTACGATTTTGTATAATATTCATTCTTCTTGATTTATTTATTTATTTATTTCACCTTGCTAAGCTTTGTAAAATACTGGCTGTTGTATATTATTATCAGTTTTTCTGAAGTTATGTGAATAGGTAATTCGAGTTTCATGAACTGAGGATTTTATATTCAGAAACTACTGTTTACTTTACTTGTATCCAATATTGAAGTAATTATTAACCAAGGCAGTTTACAGAGTTGAGCTTATGCTATCCTTTCAATTATCAAATTTCGAAGGTTAAAAATACCTTCTTTAAAGAAACAGGATACAAAGAGGAAAAATTTCAGATGGAATCCAGACATCCTGACATCTAAAATCGCTTTAAACCGAGACCTCCGTAATATTTCTTTTAAGGAAAACTTCTCCACAAGTACCTTCTGGTTTGGGCATAAACACAGTATCATTGTTGCCCTTTAAGGCAGAGAGAAATCTTCTGGTTGCTAAGAAAGGCTCTTTCTGTTTTTATTTTGATTGTTCTTCCAACTTGACGATTATCCTACTTGGACAGTTACTAGATGTAATATCTTTCAGTGAGCATACAATCTCTTAGCATATTCCCATTCCATCCTAAAGAAACTTAATTTACCTGAACACACACCACCATCTCCAGCTGATCCTTCCTTGCAACTACAACCATAAGAACCATTTGTGTTTACACAGGTCGCATTCACACCACAAATGATGCTGGAATTTGCGCACTCGTCAATATCTAAAGAAAAAAGATAACGTAAGCTAAGGAAAGTAATTTAAAAGGTTGATAAAGGATAATTTACTTCTGGCAATACTTAGACTACATTTTAATTTGATTCTGACGAGAAATATGGACGACTCTATCAGTATTAGTTGTTATTATATCGCTGCCAGTGCCCTTGCGCATTTTGAAGCGAATCCTGTCTTCTGATTGGCTACCTGAGCGGTTAAATGGGTCCATCATGCCCGCTTGGGATTGCACGGTTTAAGTCTGTGCAAGAAAGAAAATTGCTCGGAGCGAACTTACAGAAGAGTTCGTAAGTTATGGACAGTGTCAGCGACGGAGTCGCAAAAAGCAGTAGAAGACGGTCAAAATAAAGAAAAGTCGTGGGTTTATTGGGCTTCAAAAACAGTCGGCTCTCTTTCCCATCTCTTGAAATAAACAAGTATTTCTTGATTTTTAACAAAACAAAATATTTTTTCTATGTGATAGATCCTTTATTGACCAAGCTTGTTCGGTTAAGATGGATAGACATTGGTTACGTTTTGTTTTCAGCGTTTTTAAGTTAATTAATTAAGACGAATTTGGTATCTCTGACCACGATAGATACTCAGCTCAATCTTTGGAAGAAAAGCTTTCAGGAAATACAAAATGGGGAAGCAACCAAGAAAAGTTTCGGATTCGACTGACAAAATGCCAGTTCCTAACCGTAAGCAGAGGTTAAAACGAAGTAAGTTCATCATACCTGTACATACATGTCCAGTTCCATTGTATCCCTCCTTACATGTGCATTTGTACGAGCCATAAGTGTTTGAACAGTTTGCATTCACGTCACAGCGCAAGATATCACTCTTACATTCATCGATGTCTAGGAGATAAATGGTAAATAATGAAAGAATAGGTGAAATAGAAATTAACAGAAAAAAACAAAAAACCAAAAAAAAAATTTTTTTGACAGGTATAGGTTGAGATAAAATGAAATAGGCTAACCTCCAGTCCCAAAGTTCATATCGCAAAACATCAACATTGTCTTTCCATTACCAGTTGGATTCAGCCAGTACTTGTTGCTAGTGGAATCTTTTCCCTCACTTGCCTTTATTTCTTGGCAAGACATTGCTGGTAATTCCAGAATAGAACCCAGAGGTGCTGCAATACATAAAAGATTGCAAAATTAATTCGTGGGATAACTACTTAGATAATTTGCAAAAATTTTAAGTTTTGAGCTCGGTAGAAATAGAGAAAGATATTTTTCGTATTGTCACGAGCGTGGGACAAATAAAAAGTTCTGAGTTCCCATGAGGAATCGAACCTCAGACCTTCGGTTTCCGCGCTCCGATGTACCACTGAGCCTCAGAGACTCTAAGGTGGGCGAGGCCCATTACGAAGTTCATACATGACGCACGTCCAGCATACTGCTAGAATGTCGACAGCGTCCTGTTTTTCTAAATAGAATAAGAGAGATAGTAGGTAATTTTCTCTTTGTCCCACGCTCGTGACAAGACGAAAAACATCTTCCTCTATGTGCATAAATGTATCTAACTCACTGAAATGTGGTGGAGTATTTCATTCGAATTTTTCTTACCTTACTCTGAAAGCGAAGGGTAAAACGGTTATTAAAGCATGTTAAAAATACTATTAAATATGAAAACATCAAAGGTAAATATCATTTATGAATAACTTGACGTTTTAACAAATTCAACCTTTTTTTCCCCACTTTCATTTCTCTTAGATAAGCATCAGAACTAACATTTTTTTCAAATGTGTTAAAACACAGAAGCAGTAAGATAAGTTTATCGGAAAAACCTAACTCAATATTTTTCTTGAAAATGAAGTTTGTTAAAAAAAAACTGTAAATGTCCTAAAGAAGCACCTGTCAGGGTTGCTCACGGCGACACCGTTAAAAGACAGAAACTTTCAAGCAAAACACGATGCAAAAATAAAAACAACATCTTGAGGTTAGAATTCGAACCCATACGTGATAGTCTTCCCAAAACATTCCTCGTGAGGGCCGTACGCGATCATGAGAACAGAGCTGGAAAAACTTGCATGAGCTGGCTTACGGTCCGGCGTGATGTAATATGGTAAAATTGTCAGCCAGAAGAAGATCGACAGTCTTAGGATAAAACGCTCCTTGTCTGAATTGGGTCGTGCCGGACCCGAAAACACTTTGCTCTCAGTCATAACGTGCGAACGAGTAGGGCCTTCTCACTGCATCAGCAACTACATACCGCGCCATAAAATATACTTTATGAGTAAATCTTTCCGAGTCAACATTCTTGAACTTAAAACATACCCCTTCCGTTTAAACGCCGGATATGAAACCAACCAGGGGCCGAGCGAAAACTTTCAGGCCTCGCCTCTTTGGTGCGGTTGTTCAATTCGCAGATCTTCTCCTTTCTGTTGTAGTTATAGCTTTGGCAGGTAATTTCTTGTCCACACCGAATATCACAGATGTGAGGAGCTAATGCTGAAACCCTTTTAAACACGAACTTCTCAAGTTTCATGCCTTGAATGTTGATCTCCATCCTGCACTGTTCATTAGCACATACGTGGCCCACGAAAAAAGCCAAGATAAAGAAACAAAAATATTGCCACAGCATTTTTCCTGTAAGAATAAAGAATTAATCCATGCTTAGCGTGCATATATGGCGTTGTGGATGCATATAGAGAGTTTAGAGAGCACGAAGTGCAGCCGAGAGCAACTCTAGCCTCTTGGGAAACTATTTTTTTTAAGTCTTCCCTTTTTGTTTTTTGGTGACATTTTTAACTGCTCGAGGGATTCTTATCCAGAAATCATGAGTTTGAAATTTTTAAAGCATTAATTGTAAAATAACATCAGGTTTTCTAGCTATTCCTTCCGAATTTAACATCAAAACTGATGAAAAGAAAGCTTCCTTACCTTTAAAGAGAAAATCAAAGCACAGCCATTTGAGGTGTTCTTCGGAGTGGATCACCATCTGGAAAGTTTGCATTTTGAAGTTGTTCAGTGGCTGTTGTAATTGTTTAAATTAAAAAAAAACCAAACAAAAACGAAAGTCTAGTTTAACAGCTTGAGCCTCTGTTTTCTGGCAAACTGTTATGAATGCAAAATAATCTCATATTCATAATATCAGTTTGATTGTATATTGTGAATAATATCACCGGGTTATTGATAATTTGCCCCTAAATTGTTTGTGATCGCCGTAATTTAAAGATAATACAAGAACACCATCACTTTTGAGCAGGTTGATAAAAACTTAACTATAGCCACTTATCAGGCCAGAAAAACCCCAGCCGTCTCTAAGCATTCTGCATCCACAAAATGAGTTCGAGATCCGCTTTTCCAAGTATCCCATAACAAATGTCATTTAATGAAAACCTTTACTAGCATCTTCATCAGTAACGAGTGAATTCAAAACCTGCCCTTTAGGTGTCCTTAAAGGGTTTTATACAGATTCTCCTATATTAGCCGATAAATATCCACTTAAAGATTGAAAATAAGTTTCATAGATAATTTTTTTTATCATGATTCATGAGATGGCGCGTACATGTTTAAATCTAGATATAAACCACTTTCCGAACAGGTGGAATTCAAAATACAAATATAAAATTATCATAATTGGAGCTCAAGAGGAAACAGTGAACAGAAGTCTAACAATCTTTGCTTTACTCATACTTCAGTTTTTTCACCAAAGAAAGATTTTGCCTCAGCGGGTACCTCTGTAATTTTTCCGTTAGATTTTGAATGTATACCGAAGCAAGTTGTGAGAACCAGAGGCGAGTTACCCGTCGAAGAGGAAAGCAAATGATTTACATCTCTTTTAAAATCGATCCCAATGTAAATGAACTACTATTGGAAATTTTGATCACTGCGTCAACTTTCGTCAACTGCAGCACAAATGGGTATTTTGCAAGATATTCCAATCGGGGATAATCTTGATAGAACTCTCCTGTGGCCAGACATAGCCGGTCCATCACTTTCAAATTGAAAAAAAGTTCTATTTAGAGGAGATATTCAAACTATGGAAATGAATTGAAAGAAAATCAACAAAATCAAATTCAAAACCTTGTCAAGTTAGCTTCGGAGCATCTAGAGGATAACGGAATAATCATATCGCTATAAAAGAAAAAGATTAAAAGTGAAACGGAAGCTTCCAAGATTACCAGTCATGCACTGAAATAACAGTCTACATCATTTTCACAGCAGCCATCTCTCTCCAGCTAAAGGCAAAAACATTTTGTGGATTTAAATGCGTTTTCGCATAGCAAAACTTGAACTGACTCCAGTTGGTCTACTTAACAGAATGTTCTCAAGAAGATGTTCAAGCTGTCGTTAATGGCTAGGACAGGTGCTCCTTCAATGATTGTGGATTACGCGCGACGCTAGTCACAAAGACCCCAGCGTGGACCAATTATTAACTATCCAGCCAATCACACAAATGCAATGCGTAAAACACCTTCAGAATAGACATAGTTTGATGCTACACTGGTTTGCAGATTTAATGAATGTAACCGAAGAAGTTACAATTCATAGACCCAACGTTTCGACACTCCTGTCTAGTGCCTTCATCAGGGGTGATCTAAACGCTGCAACAAGAGGTCCTTTTATATGATCACTAATTAGCGGCCTTTTTTTCTGACGAGGTGTAAATAAGCGTCAGGAAGCAGACCGCCATCGTCACGATTTAAAGGAGCGTGGGCGGAGTTAATGTGCCAAGCCTCCAAACAAAGGCGCTGGTGGTAACGCCGATTAGTGGTGATAATTTTAGAATTATCCCACCCAATTGTATGGTTGGTTAGGCAAGTATGCTCCGATAAAGCTGAATTTTCCTTTTTGCAAAGAAAAACCGCTTTTTGGTGCTCTTTTAACCGTGTACCAAACTGGCGTTTGGTCTGTCCGATGTATTCGTTGTCACAGTCATTGCAAGGAATAGAATAAATGGCGTCGGTTCGTTGTTCTTTCGTGACAGGATCCTTAGGTTTGGCGAAAATATGCCCCAAAGTCTGAAAAGGTTTTTGAGCAACTTTAACGCTTTAACGGTTTAACGGTTTTTCTTTGCAAAAAGGAAAATTCAGCTTTATCGGAGCATACTTGCCTAACCAACCATACAATTGGGTGGGATAATTCTAAAATTATCACCACTAATCGGCGTTACCACCAGCGCCTTTGTTTGGAGGCTTGGCACATTAACTCCGCCCACGCTCCTTTAAACCGTGACGATGGCGGTCTGCTTCCTGACGCTTATTTACACCTCGTCAGAAAAAAGGCCGCTAATTAGTGATCATATAAAAGGACCTCTTGTTGCAGCGTTTAGATCACCCCTGATGAAGGCACTAGACAGGAGTGTCGAAACGTTGGGTCTATGAATTGTAACTTCTTCGGTTACATTCATTAAATCTGCAAACCAGTGTAGCATCAAACTATGTCTGATTGTCCAC